TGCCCGGCTCAACTGCATAATTTATACGGCAAAGGGTCGGGTACAAAGTAAAAGTTTCTCTGCCTGCAAGTTGGCTCAAAGAGCCCGGTACTTGGCGTCGCCTTAAGCCGCCTTTTCAGTGCCGCAAATTGCATTTAGCGCATTAATTTGACGCCTTCGCCGCGCCTCCGGTGGCAACGGGGTCCAAAGAAAGGAATTAACTCGTACCATTCCTTTAATTATGCCTGAAGATGATCTAAGTTCCTCTTTACCGCACATTGTTTCTTTTCAATTTGCAAAGGGATAGGTGGCAATTGAAATATTATCATTTAATAATGAGAAAATTTGTTTTAGAAGTCGAGGTTATCCTACGATGTTATCTACAAACTGGGTATATCGTATATGAATTTCAATCCAAAATTAATTACTTCAAAGGCAGTCTATGGATAAAGAATTAACGAGTTAAAGAGAAAGTATTTTTCCTTGCCTATTTTTGATGATTTTTTTCAAGTGCTCCTGCTTACTGCCCACGCCGTGGCTTAATCTATCGTTCCTCACCTGACTCGCGGTGACTTTTGGTACTCGGTGTGTGCACTTTGATGTCTTGCGGTTGGTTTTCCGCCCCGGAAAAACTCCTGGGAAAACGGGAAAGCGGCCGAGGTGGCGACCTGACCCCAACCCGGGCGCGGAAATTGTGCGCCGCAATCTCTTAAGACCGGCGACAAATATACTTGGTCTGGCGTTTATATTTCAGGTTCGGGGTGGCGGCACAGGAGCAGGAGTGGAAGTTGGCCCGGGGCTTTAGGCATTACCAAGATTTAACAACAACTTCTGGCCTTTTTTCGTCGTGGGCTGTCGTCTGCGGGTTAAACGATGCGAGTGAACTCAGGTAGCAGAGGACACGCCGCTCGTAAATAATTAATCTGCCCGCAAAGTGCGATTATCAAAGTGTTGGAAAAATGTTAAATAGCTCCCCAGGGCAGAGATTCCGCCAACAACATTAAAATGTGGCGACATTTCAAGAAGAGACACAGGAAAAAAAATCAATGCTTAGAGCAACAAGGACCCGTATTTTTGAAGTGTAGTCCTCATCTTGTTTTGTCTCCTTGGACATTTGCCCGCCGGCCATTCGTGGGGCTCTTGATATTTTTTGACTGCCGCCGTTGATGTTTTTCAATTATGCAAATAAAGGGATTAATTTGTTGCGGCTCTCGAGAAAGGATGAAGAGGAGCTAGGCAGTGGGTGGGGCAGACACTGGAAATTGTTTTAAAGAATGCGCCGGGCCATGATAAAACTTTGTCCCAGCAGTGCTTACCCCTTTCCTTTTTCCTTTTCGGGAGACGGCAACTGCGCGACAACTATAAAAATTTCAATTACAAAAAGGGCGCAGTAGATGTTCCGGGGGAGTGACACAGGATGCGCAGGAAGAGGTGTGGGAGCATCGGCGGCAACTTTCAAAATTGACTTCATTAAAGTCGAAACAATTTTTGCTGCGGACAAGTCGTCTCTTTGGACGTGTGAGAATGGCAGCGAAGTTGTTCGTTGTAAGAGGTTATGGGGTGAGTCCTTAAAAGGAAGTTTCGGAATGGAATTCTGCGAGGAGCGAGACTTATAACTAGAGATTTGTTATGGCGAGATTCTTCGATCGGAATGGTTCCTAGACAACCAGAGCTTTCTCCAATTTGGGGAAAAGTCAAAAAGGCCCAAGTAAGAAGACTCACAAAGTGACGCTTCATTTAATTTTATTTGTTTGAAAATTTGGCTGGTGTCGATTTCAGCTGTGCGTATGGGTTGTTGTGCTCCGTGTCCCCAACATTTGTTTTACCTCTTCAGCCCCCCCGTTTTATTTGCTGTTTCAATTGTCAGCTGAGCTGGAAGTGGCTGTTGAGTATTAGGTCTAAATGGGGAATTACAAACATTCAAACATTCCGACCGGGCCGAGCGCAACAAAACACCAGAACAACGAAAGGGTGGAAGTGCCATCCTGAAACTCTTTACGGGGATATGGTGAGAATGGTGGGAACGAAACGGCAACGAGGGGCTGGGATGTGGGGGCGTTGCACAAATTAAACCCGAATGAAAATTAAACGATGCATGAAATTACTTTGCTTCTTTTTTTGACTTTTTTGTTGTAGGCAAAGTTCTTTTACAGCTGCCTGCCTCGCCCCCAGCCGGCTTCTTCGAGCTTGGCTTTAGCTGTTGGCCTTTGACTCTGGGCCACCCTATCCCGGACCCCCTTCCAAGCACCACGACTCAAGTTTCCTTGCCGTTTTGTTGGGTTTTTTAATTTTTAATGTGCAGCCAGTTGCTGGTGCCACAGTCTGCCGTAAAGAAAAAGGACACACACCATTTACGCAGTCCGTCCTGCACGGCAAAGTGGAGAGCATGGAGGACAACGATGAGCAGAGTCTCAGGCCAATTTGCCAAGTCAAATGTCAGTCAACTGCAATTAAGGCACTGAAAGCGCAGGGCGTGTCCTTAGACAAGACATAGGAGCACGATAGAGTAGCTTTAAGTTGTATAGGATCGCGTTATTAAAGATATGCGAAGGGAAACTCTACACCCTGATAAGCCTGAGTTTCCTTCATATATTTCAATGGAGTTTATGATGTCTATCGAGCACACAGCTCCGTCTTTTATTGTCCTGGGCACCTCACGTGTGTACAATTGATTCCATAAATGGAGCAACTGCCATATAAAATATTCTAAAACACTTAAATTTATACGACAGCTAGTGCCTTCCCTTGGCTCGGCTTATTAGCACATTTTATTGGGCCATTTACTCCATTTATTTCCCCTTCTTTTGCCGGGATAACAAAAGTATGCCGACACGAAAATGAATTTATAATGCATGGCTTTTTGGTTGTTTGCTTTGGCAGTTGGGACTATAAAATATTCGAGTCCAAACAGCCGAGCCGACTGCATGTACATATGATAGTGATTTTATCCTTTTTTGTTTTGTTTTTAGGACAGCAAAAAGGTGCTCCTGGAAAGGCACACAGCTAACTCATTTTGTGGCTGCCATCGCTGTCCCTTCTTCATTTTTTTATGCCAATTGTCTGGCAGCAGCACACACACAGGCTAATACCTATCGCCACACACACAGGCACGTGGAAAAACACGCTGAAAGCATTCAACGTATTTTTTATTGAAGGCGCGAATGCCGCTGCGACTCTGATTCCGATTGCGATTTTACCCCAGCGCCCTCTCGTTTCCCTTTCTAAGCTACACTTGAAGAATAGGTTTTAGAAAAAAATACTGTGGGGCTTAAAGCTTTAAAGATCGTTATCGATTGTCATTACCTTTTCAGTACTATTTCTTTTTAGGTAACTATATTTTTTCATATATAGCTAAGAGTCCTGGGAATATCTTTTTTGTTCAATGCACTTCCCTCTTTTCTCTAACGGTTTGTGTGCACATTGTTCAATAGCATCTATGCTACAGTGTTGACGTGGCTTTGTGTGCATAGCCTCCGGCTTGGCTTTTTTATAGTTGGTCGTGTGACAACTCAATATATTCGCCATTTGTCGCTGCATGGGCCCCACCATTCGCGCCCTCCTCTGATTTTTTTTTTTGCCACTTAAGGTGTGTTGCCCTGGTCCTTTTTCCGGCACTGCCACAGCCACCAGTCGTCATATAAATGTGGCTTGCTGAATGTCGCAAAACTGTTGAACGATGCCAAAGACAACAGGAGGTTCACCTGCCACCCTTTGCCGCCGCTCATCCACAAATCAAACCCCAGGGAGTAGGACAGTGGTTTAAAACGACGATATTGACTCGTTATTCTATTATTTATATAAGTTTAGTTAGAAGACTTTAGAGAAGAAGGGAGATGCTGAAATCAAACATTATGCTATAGTTTGGATCAATTAGGCTCTCTCAAGAAATTAAGTATTATTCCAAATAAAATATCTAAATTCCTACTATTGACTTTGGTTAACTGCTTCCCAGTCCACCCATTTAAATGATCGTGTAAGTTACACATTTCCGTGTTGTAATTCATTTTCCTTATCAGGTAACCACTGTGCTTCCAGATCCTGCTGCACGAGCTCCTTGGCTTTCTCTGCCTTTCCTTCTTCCTTATTCCTTGCCACTACCACTGCCACTGTTGTAGTTGTAGTTGGCGGAGCAAATGCAGGAAAATCAATTTCGTTCTCCATTTGCAGTTGGCAATTTGCATAATAAGGTCGTTTGGCGCAATTTGCATGTGAATGTGATAAATTCAATGGCGGCGCTGCACGTTACACCGCACACATATGCACCACCGTCTGCCACAGTGTGCGTGTGAAGGGACTGTGTGTGTGTGCGTGAGTATTTGTTTTTCCCGCTTGCCCACAGAATGAACTCACTTTTTCACGTTTGACGTTTGGAAAAATGAAAAGTGTAGCGGTGTGTTTAATAGGTGGGTGTCCCTTTATCCCAGTTCCACAGTAAATACAACGTTTTCTGTTCTAGATACTGTCCCCGAATCCATTTTAAACTGGGACGCACCGAAAGTTTACCAAAATTAGCTTAAAATATTTACTTAAATTAATGTGCTAGTCTATTCAATGCTCTTCATTCTGTTTCATTTTCTTTATAGAGTATAAATTTGGATACGAAAAGAAAGTACTTTAGATAGGTTTATTTCCCAATTTCTTACTGTGTTTGGGTTTTAGTTTTTACTGTATTTTTGGTTCCACCTTACACGTGAATTGTGGACTGCAGTGACACGGACTGGACGTGGATTTACCGGGATCCGAAAGCCGGAGTCCAACAGAACAAGTCAAAATTCATGTGACACGGCCCAAAAGGTTTTTTGTGTTTTCTGGCCAGTTACGGGTGAATGCTAGTGTGGGTATGTGTACATGAGCCGAATGGAATCATAACAGTTGAAATATGAAAGTGGGTTAGAGCATAAGAATTAAGGGGACAACCTGGGCTGGCGTTGGAATGGAAATAGCCCAACCAGTGGGCTCACATTAAAAATAATTTCGCCACTAACGTCCCAACTTCTGCTTCTTTTTCCCGCTAATTGCAGACATTAGCAGCTCGCTGACAATGACCGAAGTAACTATACCCAATCACATAATGCGCTTAAAGAGCGCCACCCTGGGCTGTCGCTACGCCCTCAACGGAGAGTCTCTCTACTCGGTGAAGTGGTACAAGGATGGTCACGAGATCTACCGCTACGTACCGCGGGACAAGCCCCCAGGACAGGCCTTCCCCCTGCCAGGAGTCAACATCGATGTAAGTGCACAAATACACAAAATAAATAATACCATAATAATGAGAAAAGGCCAAGAACTTTTTGAAGTTTCCAGGAAACTCTATGGTAGACAAAGCCTTGAGTCCCAAAAGGACAAAAAAAATGGCATAAAATATTCTAACGCTTCCTCATTTATGTATTTTTATTTGTACAGTCCTTAGATAAGAGCAACAGGTGCTGGTTTTGGGAGAAAAAAAAAACGGAAGCAGCCAAATTTAATTTAAAATTTTATTAGAATTTATGTTGCTGATTTCACAAATGGAATGGGGAGGCTGCCCGGGATTTAGTGTTACGACCCGATCATAATGATTATTTTAAAACATGTAATTGCCCCAATGGCAAAGGGAACCCTCGAAGCTTTCAGCGACTCCCTGCTGCAGCTCCGAGTGCTCGTGCCACACTGTAATGTTTTTCCCAGCTTGTTGCTGATTACGTCGTCGCTGGAATGAAAATTGCTGCCACGTAGTTTTGCCATTTAACTTTAATTTAATGTGGATGTAACCTTCCTTTGTTGCCCATAAAAATGTGTGTCTGTGCGGGTAGTTGCTTGGCCCGCAACCCCCACTGCTATCGCTGGCTTGCCATTTCCTGCTCATTTTGGCTTAGCTAAGGTCACGTGTTGGTCTGCTCGCCCTGCGATTGAAAAGGTTAACGGAAATCACTTAAAGCTGTCAATATCCCAGACAAAGTTGATACTCCTCGTCTGGGCCAACAAGCCGTTCTAATAATAATAATTTGCCAGAAGCACTTAAGTGCGTCTACTTTGTTGAGCGGCCAGTCAAGGCAAAGTCAGTGAAAAAGGCCAGGACACTGCTCAAAATAGAGGTTTTCTTGACTAGACACAGGAATATAATTTTAGTCTAGTTCCTTCATATTTCTTTCTCTGTGCCGTCAAAGTAAATCCCGTCAATTGTCGGGGCTAACGTGGCGTATGAGCAATGTGCCAGCGTATTTTATGGCCTGTGTGCGTGCGGCCAAGCGGCTGGAAAGGGCAAAGCCGAGCAGCGAAAGGAGCAGGGAGTCCTTCGAAGGGAACATAATGCGTAATGCGGCATAATTTTCGTTCGGCTTCAATTCCTGCATTTGGTCTCCGCCCTCTCGAAAAGGGTTGAAGGCCGGTTCGAGTGGAGGGAAATGATTAGAACAAAAGAAAGGCTTTTCTGGAGGTGGGGCGGCGAGTCACTTACTGAATGAGCGAGTGTGGTCCAGCCGGGAAGGCGAGATAAAGTGAGAATATTTTCATAGTAGCTTTCGGGTGGCATCGAATAAAGAAATTACTTTGAATAATTGCGGGAGGCAGCTTTAAGGTAATAAATAAACAGAGAGTAGGGAATTTCCATCGTTATTGTATTCCAACTTTTCAGTAGACCAGAGCAATCAGGGCGGCATTAACAAGGTTAGCGCAGATTCTGTTTGGTCAAACCGAATTTTGAATTACAAATAACAACTGGAAATTGGAGGGACCGAGAAGCAATAAAGGGAGACTGCAATTTGAATTGTGGCTGGATTTGGTTTTTTGGCGAGCGAACAATTCCCTCGCAACTGGCCAACAAACCGAACCCCGTTCTTATCCCGGACCACAAGCCGGTCTGAAACATTTTTTGAGGGTGTGCTGACAACTTGAGCGTGCCGAAAGAATTGGCAAAAGAACGACAACGAAGAAGGAGCTGCTGGCCTGGCGATGGGACGGGCGTTGGGAGAAGAATCAGCTTAAGTACTGCCAAGAAGGCAGCAAACAAAAGCCAGTCCAAAGTCATTGTAAAAGGACGAGTGTCGGGCGGCGGCGGGGCCTGTGGGGAAGTCAAAAACAAGCAACAAACCAAAAATAATGTTGAACGTGACTTTTGTGATTGTTTACGCCGAAGAAAGGGCCGAACGGGGAGAACCGGGCGGAGAAATGTGGGCGAGAGAAAGCATAAAGCGAGAGCAAAGAATTTTCATAAAAATTTGCTCGAATCAAATGAAACTTTCTCGTTTCTTACATGTGGTGGGGGTGGTGGTGCTGGTGTGTGTGATAATAAAACTGCAACTTAAGGAACTTGACTGCAATTGTTGCCCAGGGAGAAAGTCAGAGCCGAACGAACACTTTGAGTGACTTTTACAGCATTCCTCCCTCACATGCGTACAAGAGTATCTTCAATCTTTTATTCCGGGCTCCTCTTCCCTGGACTTTTATGCGATTGTTTCTACAATCTAGATATTTCATTTGCTTGTTTGGTTTTTCGGGCTTTGCTCTTCAGACTTTTTGGTTTATGACTTTTGTTTTTCCTTTGTGTTCTTCATGTCCTTCTGAAGAAATTAAATTTCTGGCCTGCTGTCAGTTGAAAAAGCGCACAACCGAGACCCTAAACTAATAATAAACTGTTTGCTGAGGGCACGACGTCCTCCATCATCAATCTTCATTTCGTGGCGAGTTTGTGAATGTTAAAAATCATCCATGGAAAATCTCGAACTCTAATTGCGTTTGATTTTGTGCCGATTCATGGACATGCCATTTATTTTGTTTGCTTTCGGCATTTCCCTCTTGAAGAGTGGCCAGTGGGTTGCTAGTAAAAGCTTTTTATTTTAAATGGTTTTTAACAATGATTTTTAAACTATCAACATATATATCTCAACAACATCTTTTTATTTCCTTTGCAGCTTCGTAACTCCTCGGACACACAGATCCTCCTGCGCCGTGTAACGCTCCAGAGTTCCGGACTTTATCGGTGCGAGGTGTCCGGCGAGGCGCCCGCATTCAACACCGTCGCCGAATCGGAGACCATGACCGTTGTGGGTGAGTTTAACATAAAGGGGCGGAGGTATCGGGTTGTGGGACCATAAAGAAAAATGAAGGAGTACGAGTGCGGCACTCTTGGACGACGGGCGACAGCAGAAAATTTAATTAAAATGCTAATAGTGCCGGACGGCCAACAATGTTGTGAATGGCAGTGGCAAGTGATGCGGCATCCGAAGTTCCAGAATGCATACTGCAGAGTACGGAATGCCGGCACAGAGCGATGTGCAACATAATTGTTGGCAGTGGATAAGGAGCGAAGCCAAGAAGAGGCCGGCGACAAGGATTGACAGCGGCAAGTTGAAGGATAACAGGGCAGGACTGCCTGCCGGGCTGCAGCCAGCACGGCTCTCATTGTAAAAAAGCTTTTAAGAACACATTCGAGGAAACCGAAATCTGAGGCTGCCGAATGCAAATTGCATGCAGGTTGTCAGCTCCTTGTCAAGTAGTCCTTGATGGGGTGACCAAAACGTCAGGACTTGCCATCGGAAATGCGGGGAGGGCCCCTGAGAGGATTAAATACAAGGCAGATTTCTTTAATTGGATTAAAATGGTGGTAATGAATGTTTAAAAAGAGCTCTTTAAGAAATCTTCTTTTTACTAGGACTTCTAACAGGTATATCCTTTAAACAATTGACTTACAATTTTTTAAATATTAATCATTTTAATGAAATGAAACTCCTTGTTTCGGGATGACACTTTAAAGCGCTTGCCACTCGCAAGCATTGCGAATTCTGAAGGTGGTGACGCAGGTGACCCCACCTGGTCGAGGTCTTCGGTCTCCGGTCTCTGGTCTCCTGCCTCCCGTCTCCTGGCTCGGGTCTCCGCTCTCCAGTTTCAGTCGCAGTTGTACTACCGTAAATGGAATTCATGCAACATGGCAATGCGTTGCAAATGGCATTGTCGAGTCGTCTCAACTCCCAGGCTCCTTGTAAACCCAGTCGCTTTTCTCTTGTTCACTGCTTTTTAAAGGATTCCGAGCTCCTCTCGGATTTTTTCTCAGCTTTTCTTTGCGATTCGCCTTGGCAACCCTAGCGCCTGCCTTGGTGCTTCACCACACCCCAGCTTGCCTCATTTTTTGTGCGCCACCCCACTCTTAATACAACTGCATAATCTAAGCAAACAATTGAAATGGAATTTTTGCAGTCGGGAACGCGGCCAGCGTCGACGCAGCCCCAACAAAAGGCGCACATGTGTGTACAGTGAATGGGCGTGGTCGAGGGCTGGGCTGCCACTGTCATTGCGAAATTGAAGTAAAATTATGTTTTCATGTCCGACTTTCAAATGGAGAAAAACTGGGCTAAGACAAAGCGCTATATGCCATCTGGCAGAGGCAGACCGGCAAGAAAAAAACGTTTATACTCTCACCATTTGCATACATATGTGGGATGTAAGAAGAGCCGGAAGTACTCTTGGAAATAATCCACCAAGCAGATTAGAATTCCTTTCAGACAATCTCTCTTTTTTAAACATCCCATTTATTGTTGGATTCTATCCCCCAACATCCAACATGGTATTTCGAGAAAGTCCTCCCGCAATCAAGTCGGCCGACTGGGCCTGAAGTTAATCACAAATTTATAAACTCATAAAAGAATCAAGCGGTTATCAATATGTGCGGGGGAGCACTGGGGAGATCCCCTGGGGACAGGACAGAGAAAGCACCACCGAACCACTGAAGCACCAAGGAAGGGCCACCAACATCATCAATAGCTGCCGAGGCCCCGGGGCCAGGAACCTGCATTAACTTATGGCAACAAGGAGCAGGACATCGCCACGCCCCCGTCCATCCTCCCACACAGCCAGCACATTTCATGCTGATTTTGCTTTCGGCTATTCCCCAGCGCCCCGCCCCTCGAAGACGCATTGGCATGCCGGGGAAATGGGAAATGGTTTTGCATATTAAACAATGTGTCTGGGCAGCCAAATTGAACGATATTCAAACCAAGGAGGAAGAGTGGTGGGAGACGGCCATGGAGGTTACAGTGATCCCTGGCATATACCACTTTTGGTTTTAAAACAGTGTCTAAGCCAATCTACAAGAGGCTTTCTTTGAGGGAGAAACTGCTCTAGTTTTAGTCAAGCTGCCTTATCTGGTTCACGCTGTAGCACAACCGAGGACGTTGCACATCGCATCGGAAAAAAGGAAGAAAAATGCTGAAAGGAAAACAAAGTGAAGCTGAGTGGGATGAATCTTCCGTCATCAAGAACTGTGTCAGCTCTTCCGGAGAGGCCGTCTATAAAGGGAAAGGGGGAGGGCCTAAGGAGCTCCACTAATGCAAGTGAACCATAAAATATGCTCCAGTGAAAGCCGATTGTCCCCAAAGGGAGTTCGCAATGTTAATTTCGCGATCGTAAAGGGCCAGCGGCAGAATTCAAAAGGACACGGAATAGAAAAATGTTTCAGAAAATATGCAGTTCGAATAATCAGAAGGGACTTAAGGCACTAAAGTAGTTTAGTTTTAAATACCCTTGGCTCGTTAAAGAGTTCCTTGAAATGGCCTATTAAGGCTTGGAGACCTTTGCACAAACTTTAATGAAAGCCTTTGGCCTCCTTTGGATAATTTACAGCTCATTAGGGTGACCAGGCCAAGGAGCAACAATAAATATTATGGCAGAGTGCCCTCCTACCCCGACTTCCTGTTTCTCTCAGGCTGCCTCATAGCTCATAAAAATCACATTTAACTTTGCTTGCCAGTGGGAGGCTGTTGGCTGTTGGGATGTCTTCGTCCTTTATGCAGGCAATTGCTTTTTTATATTGTAAAATCGATAAGCGATCACATTATATGTCCTTTCGTGTGTGCAAGGGTATGTGTGTCCAAAGAGAAAGACAGAGCCAAAATAAAAGAGAGATAGAAAGAGGAACGAAGAACTCGCCGGGAAAGTGAGTTATATATGTGTTTGTCCTTTAAAGTGCACTTAACCATAAATTCAGGAACAGGATGAGGACCCAAAGAGACAGACTGAAAAGAAGCAGGAGAAGGAGCACAGGACATGTGCCCTGCGCTGAGAGCCTTGCGTGCTCATTAATTAAAAAAAAAACGCGATACGCAACAGCTGCACTTGGAGAAAACTTTTAATTGTGTTCTCCATTGTGCGCTTTCGAACTCTCAAGACCTAAAACAACAGCCGAGGATTTCTGTCTGTGCACATCGAAGCACGCTCACACAAACTAAGGACAACAGAGACCGATGCAGATGAGGATACAAGGATACGGAAGAGCCGCGGAAATAACGGTAACAGTAATGTTGTCTTAACTCAAACATGCCGCAGCTCGACTGGAGGATCCTGCGGAGGGGCCACGCGTCTGGTATCGTGCATTAAAAATCGTTACCATATGCAAAATTAAAGATAACAAACGAGGATTTCAGAGGTCCTGGAAAAGTCGGAAACGAAACGGAGTGGAAAGTGCGGGAAAGCGAAGTGTAGTGGCGAATGAAGTATATTTTTACGAGCTATGATGTTGGGACGAGGCATTTTTCAGTCTACCATAGTCCATATTCTATAAAAACATTCAATCTTAAATTGAAACATTTATATAAAAAGCAGTATGGAAAATAGAAGATACTGGGTGGAAATAGGTACTTTACATAATTTTATTACTCCTTTGCCCAAGTCCACTGTCACCTGCAATTGAATTGAATACATTTTTTATAACAGAGTGTAAATCATGTCGCCAAATGCTTATTAAAAAAATTCAGTAGCAGATAGCTGCACAAAAAGCCCAAATAATTGGGGGATCGCTGGCGGGGCAGGGGCTGGGGTTGGATGGGGAAACACTTTTGCAAAGGACTCAACATGTGCATAATCCAAACTCGCACACAAGTACATACCCGAAAGCTAAAATGGCTTTGCAAATAGAGCAGGTGGATGCCCAGGAGGTGGTCTTGGGTCCCCACGACAACCCTCATTGCCAAAATCCCAAGCACCTGACCTGGCTTATCGTCTGCCAAGAAGATGCTGCGGAGTGCGCTCCTGGCGAAAAGGAGGAGTGGCCGGGGAGGCCTTCTCAGGTAGGAGAAAACATACCGCAGCATATTAAAAGAAGACCACCAACGGAGAAGAGCCAATGGAAAAAAAACTGAATACAGAACGCCCACTTGGAGTACTTACTGTAGTCCTATTCTTGGTGGCCTACTAAAGCAAACATTCTTTAAAGAGCTATAGCTAGGTTTCTGTGCAGTTTAGACTTTATATTAGACCATGTTTAACTTAAAATTTATTGAAAATTCGACAGAACTCTTAACATCTTAGATAATCAGTTCTTCTAGTTCTCAAGGAGATGTTTAGTGGTTACTATTCTCGAACTTTTTGTTGCGACAGAATGCCTCACCCAATTGACATTTTTTTTCGGCTCCTGCTGAAAAAGGTGTAAGTACATACCACCATCTACTCTGCTCCAGCCTTCCCCATTTCCCTTCAGCAAGAAAAACTGCTTAGTCATAGGAAAATGCCGAAAATATTCTTGGAGTACTTGGCCATTCGACATTCGGTCATTTCCCTTTCAGCTTTTAGTGTTCGGCTTATTGCAGGTCCTGAGACCTGGGGGTCTCCCAGCCCCTGCATCGTTCCCCGCCTCTGTGGCATGTCCTTTATCGTTGCGTGCTAAGTCTGGCCAAAATATATTGCCAACTCATACAGACATACGTGTCCTTTTTCATCTGCCGTCATCTCCCTTTCTCTTTACGGTTGTGTCTCTAGATTTATGCCGCAAAATTAAACCCAAGTGCGACAATATGGTGTTGCCTTAAAAAATGTTCACGTAATATATATAAACAATTATCCGAACATCGTCCCCACCACAGAATATCAGAGGGTTAAAAGAGTCAGTTTTTTGGGGGCGGTTTTGATTGCTTGGGGAATAAGTTGGCAATAAATGGCGAGGAAAGATAAAACTATATTTTAGTGCCGTTGTTTACCTGTGGACAACATTTAAGTCCTCTTGCTATAAAAGGCGTTATTCAGATAATCATTAAAAATTAAATAAAGATTATGAAATGTGTAAGGCACAGAAAATAGTCTGATACCGATATGGATCGTCCAGAAACATTTTCTAATTCAGATTTGGGAAGAATCGATGTACAAATCGTTTAAGACATTCCGGTTAGAATTCGGAGGATAATTGCCAAATATGTATATGGTATAGAGAATTGGTCTCTAGGTTTCCCTATGCATTTTTAGATTTTTTGAGGGAGACCCCCATTGGTGATTGATATAAAAACCTATGCTTCTCAGGACTTTGTATTGATTTCTCCACGGATAAATTTGTGGATAAAATTGGATAATTACCGCCTTATCCTAATTCGAATTTTATTATCAACCATTGTATTAGAATACAAAACATAAAACAAAAGTGCAAAGCTTCTATCTTCAAAGTTACTAATAATAATATGTTTACCAAATATAAAATACTCGTTCTGATTTTTCTGTTATATGGCAGCAATAGGATATAGTCCCCTAAAGGGTCCACATTTATGGCTATAGCTTCCCCAATTCTCAACCGAATTTTAGATCGATTTCTCACCATTCTGCATCAAAATTCTGAGACAGAGTATTTTTCTAGGGATTCCAATGAAAGTTGTTAATTCGAACTCTCTTACTGTAAAAATACCGATACCGATTTTGATCAATCAGTTATATGGCAGCTATAGGATATAGTAGGCCGATCCGGGCCGTTCCCACTTATATACTGCGTGCAAAGGAAAGAAGTGTGTGTGCAAAGTTTCAAGACGATAGCTTTAAAACTAAGAGACTAGTTTGCGTAGAAAGAGACAGACAGACGGATAGACAGACGGGTAGACGGACATGCTTATATCGACTTAGGAGGTGATCCTGATCAAAAATATATATACTTTATAGGGTCGGAGATATCTTCCTCACTGCGTTACGCACTTTTGACCAAAATTTTAATACCCTCTGCAAGGGTATAAAAACTAATAATCAGAATTCGGTGTGAATTTATGAAGAAGTGATGTATAAATCGTTTAAGGTATTCCGTTTCAAATACAAAATATTATTACTAAAGGTATAGATTCGGCAGAAAGCACTATAGTATTAATTTCCCATTGATTTCTTTGGAATAGAAGAGTCTTTACCGTTATTGCCACTTAATTTTGGAAGAAATCTTAATACCCTCTCTAAGGGTAGCAACAGCTTATTCCCATTTACTAAAATTTTAACAATTTGTTTAGTTTTCTATTTCTGTAGCTAAACACTAGAAGAGGAAATATGAAATAATACTTTGAATCTGTACAAATAGGTTTATCAAAAATGCATTTCATCAAGCTGCATTTTTAGATTACTTCATGGGAACCTTTGTGCGTCTTACTTCCACCGTCTCCCAGCTTGCACCCTGTACTACCAAGTTAGCCAACAAGCTAGTTGCATGCTACACGTAGGGATGGGGAAGAGGGGGACCAAAGCAAAGTAAACTTCACTTTATAAATTACAAATAAGCAAACTGAGAAGGCAAATCTAATCCAGGAGAAGGGCAACATGGCCAAGAATCCAGGGCCCAACACTCGGAAAAGCTAATAAGGTGAAAAAGTGCTATAAACTGATTTTATTGTTGCACACATGTCTTTGTTGCTTTTGAATATTTCAACAATTACTCAAAATTCTTCAAGGCAGTAGTTTTTTCAAGTGTACGGACTGGACTATACAGAAACCACATCCAAGCTTCCACAACCACAAGGAAACAAAAGCAAATCCAGCAAAAACACCCAAACGAGTTCTAAGGGAAATTAATTTTTTGAAAACCATTAAAAATTAATTTTATTTTATGGCACACACTCATGCAGTAGTAAATGTTGTATGATATCCAGTCTCCTTCTTTTTTTCTGGTTGGAGCATGAACGAATATTTTTAATGCATACAGAGAGTGGCTGGCAGAACGAGGGGCCCAACGATAAAGGGACATGGGGAAGCGCCTGGGAAGGAGTCCCGATGTTGGCGCTGCTCCCAATTGACTTGGTTTTTATTTTTACACAATCATGGGGAAGTATTTTAGAGAATGAGCAGTGAAGAGGGGCAAAATGTTTCTGTGCCAGTTGGAAAAATAATAACTAGGATATATTTAGCATTACACAAATTACAAATTGTTTTCTTTAACTTTCGTCTAACAAAAACAGAAGGAACCTTTGGTCTTCCACATTGAATCACTCATTCCATTAAAGTTTTGTTGCGCTACTTCTATTATGGTCCAGAAATATACCCGAAAGGCCAGGACATGAATGAAATCCTGCCTTGGGGGAGCATAGACCCACCCTTTCTTGAGTGTCTCAGACTCACACCCATAAACCTGCACCCACGGATATGGTACATGGGCCAAAATAAAAACACCCACATGCCCAGACACACATGGCCAAATAAACTTTGAATAAGCATTTCGTGTTCACGAACGAAAGCTGCTTTCTTTCAATGGCTGGTCTTCTTGGACTACATCTCCCCTTCTTAGAATGCCTTTCCGACAGACTCACCATAAATCGTTGGACTGTCCGCCAGCCTCCTCCAGAAAGAGGCCACCCCACCTCTCTCCCTACTTTAGTTAAGGGAAGTCAGTGGGCCAAATAAGCGAAGCTGCATATAAAATAATAAAAGTGAGCCTTCTGGGGGAGGAAGGCTGAAAGCACAAAATGGCCAGTTAGTTCTCGGCTAAGAAATATTCAATTTCCACGGCTCATTAAAATTAAATAACTCAGCTCGGACGATGGGGAATAAAGGCATAACTTGAAGTCTGGCTTTATGAATCGGAGAAATGGGAAAATTTAATTGAAGTGCAACAAATCTAGAAAACTGGGGCCATAAAAGTCATAAATATGCAAGAGATTAAAATGCCAAAAACTGTAAAGTATGGATATTATAGAAGATAACTATAAAATATAATAATCATGAAACAAATAAATAAAATAAATGTGTTTCTGAAACTATAATCGTATAGAAAACTAATAATATTGATAAATCTTGCAGTGACTCCTAACCACGGACCGAAGATAACTGGAGGGCAGCCTCGATACCAAATCGGAGACACCGTCCGGGTGAACTGCACCTCGTCGCCGTCCAAGCCTGCCTGTCAACTAAACTGGTACATTAACGGAGAGCCTGTGCAAAAGATACATCTCCGGCACTTTGACAAGATTGTGGTTAATCGCGATGGCCTGGAGATGTCCCGACTGGGCTTGGAGTTTCGGGTGCGAGGCTACCACTTTAAACACGGCGATATGAAGCTTAAAGTATGTCTTAAATCTTTACTCTTTTTATGGTAAATAAAATTATTACTACTTTATCTATAGTGCGTGGCCAAGATCAGTTCCCTGTATCTGCAGAGCAACGAGGAGAGCGTGGAGAGCGATCGTCAGCAGCGGGCACCGGCTCTGGAGTCTCGGGAAACTGTGGCAGCCAAGTCCAGCACGATTGGTATACCAAAAAAAAGATATAAAATAAATACTTGAAATACTTTAAAGAACAGTTACTAACCATCTTTTTATTCCAGGTGCCGCCACTTCAAAGCAGTCTTCTCAACTCGTTTCAATGCTGTCTCCCATCTTTGTGCTGCTGCTGTTTCACATCTGGACCTGGCCCAGGAATAGTTAACTATCTAACGAATAAGCATCGCGAAATCAGACACTTTAAGCTAAGAGCCGTTTGAAAAAGCAGACATATCCTATGCCAAAATCTATGAGACATAAACCAAAGAGAAACTTTAATTCCGACTTTGGTTAAATTCAAAATTCAATCGATGTGTGTGCGTGTGCATAAAAGGGGCGTATTCCCCAAATAAAATATCAAAATGGTAACTACTCAACGCGAGCATTTAAGCAGAGGCTAAGAACTGTACATATTTATTCGTAATCCTAGGAAATTATTACTAGCCTTAAGCATATCGTTGATTAGGCAAAACATTCGTTGATCTTTTGTGATATTTTCTGAATTTTGAAAGCATAGGGAGAGTAAAAAGTAAAAACCATCTTGATCTTATTTCGTATTCCTCCCATTTAAACTCCCGGCATATCAAAAAGAATATAAGCGTTTCGATTTCGATTGTATAAATTACACATTCGCACTCCGACTTACATATAAAAGAATCTAAGCCTAATCCAAGCAAACGTTGCTTAAATCTATAGTATTGCTAAGATAAGAACCTAAGTGTACGAAAGTTGTAAAGAAAAGAATAAATCTTAACCGAAAAAGACGTCGGAGGAATAATACCGACAAAATATCATTCATATTCTAAGCTACGCTAGAGTAAGGCAAAAATTAAATTTGCATTTCAAAAATTCCTCAAAGAGAAAGATATTGTACGTAAGGATATTTGACTAGAAAAGTGTAAATACTCAAAAATAAAGCCAAGGTTTGCAAAAGTTAAGAACTTTGAATTTTGGCCAATGTCTCGATGTGAAGAATAAGTAACTTAATGTGTGTGTGAAAAGATACTCGAAGACCAGTCGATCAATGCCAAGCCCCATTAGCACCATCTTTTGCAAAATAACCTTAATAATATAGTTGACTTTTTTATTTCTCTCAGTTTTAAGTTGAGTTTACACAATTCCATACAAAAACTTTAAAAGCTAAAAAAAATATTTAAAATATGAAAGGGTACGAGGAGGTGATCTTCACCGACCAACTGTTGCATCACCGCTGTGTGGGACAACAAATTCAGGCAACCCGAGAAGCCTGGGAGAAAAAATGTGCCTGGTTTCCAGTTGCTCAAAGGAGATTGTATGCCCGGTATCCGGAGATCTATGACGAGTGTCTGGAGAAGTACGGCGACGATCCCTTTGAGTACTATGCAAACAGGATTCGGATGAGGAACCATCTCAGGGTCAAAACCAAGTCGTATATGCAGCGACAGCGGAAGGAAGCGGAAATATCGATGGGCCACATAAAGGACTACAGAGTTTCCCCCACGACAAACGGGGAGTACGGCAGTGTCCAGCCAATGAAGCTGTTCTACTGCTTGTAGACCTTTATGTGACCTATCGGTAGCTTTGAATCCTTCGAGTCAGCTGTCTAGTTAGGAATAAATCCAGGTGTTCCTGGGGTATTCAATATCTTTGCGTGTTTTATATTCATTTCTGAGGAAAGTTTAGAGTCAAAATGTTTAGTACGATTCTCGGCATTACAGTAAATGCTACTAAAACCTTACAAACCTTTCGGGTTGAATCACCTCGACTCGATGCTTTAAAATACGCTACTTGCATGATACTAATCCTTTGGCTTATGCTAATTTTCTCAAAATGAGTCAGCCCCTGTGAGGTGTAACACCCCTTATCCGATCCATTGAGCTGTTTATGGCAAACCGAAAAAAGGAGGAAAAGGTGAAAATTGTAAGAGACATGCCATAGAAAAAATGCGCAACAAACCGCAGTCGAATGCATTCAGGTCCAAACAAAGTTGGCAACAAACAAACAAAAGGCCGAAAGCAGTTCATGACTCATGCGAGTGGGTGGGAGGGGCGGTTGCCTTGCATGTCTCTCGGGTTCACCTGGGCGTGAGAAATGCAATCCATTGGGTCCGACTCATTTGCATACAAAGCCAATCGATTGTGGGCCAACGCCGAGAGCCGGACAAATGGGCAACACATGGGCTCCAGGTCTTGGCCGAATGTATCTCGGACATGCCTCTGATAGCCGCTTGGCATTGATCGACTGCCGGGAGGAGAGCTTGACCCCCAAACTTAGCCAAACTGAATGTTTTTTGTACATAGCCAGCGGTGTTTGAACTCACATTTACCTAGGATCTAAGCAGGAAGCCCCACGGCATCTCTCTAGCCGTAATCTCCATTCGAGTCTAAGCAAATCTTGTGCGTGTTGTAAATTAAAGTATGTCCCTAAACGAAAAGTTAAACTTAGAGGTTCAACAAGAGCCAACAAGTGGCGGAAATGGGTGGAGCCATTGTAGGCCAATAGTTAATTCAAGAAACTAAACCTTCCTTCATAATTCTTCATCGAGAAACTGTTATCCATTCATTCTACATTTATTTCTTTTTTTTACTAATCGAATGTTTTACAAGAAATATCGAAAATCAATTAGTTTGTACAACTGAACATGAAAATGATAAATAAACTAAGTGGAAAATAAACTAAAGTATTTGATTTGAAATTATTATTGCTTATAGAACCCAAAAAGCAGGCTGGATCATCATGTCGTTAGTACTTTTATTTAAGTGAGCCGAGTCAGTCCAACTTCAAAGAAACTCAAAAAAAAAAAAAATTAAAAATATTAAAATTTCATAAAAAGTTTAAAAGTATTGGAATTTTAAGACACCTTCATAAAACCATCTTTTAATCGCATTTCTTTGTTTAGATTGTGTTGTCTGTTGCGTTATCCAAAAAATAAAAATGAAGGTTTACGACGAGGTGGTGTTTATGGATCAGCTTTTGCACTACCGCTGCGTGGCCAGTCAAATCGAGGAAACTCGTCTGACCTGGCAGAAGCGGAGCTCCTGGTTCCCGTCCGCCCAAAGGCAGATGTACTCCCGTTACGAGGAAATCTATAACGAGAGTATAGAAAAGTACGGAGTGGACAAGTTCAAGTTTTATGCCAAGAGAAACCGCTTGGGTGGCAGGTTCAAGGCGTCCAAAATAGGCCCGGAAGATCCGAAGGACGCCAGGGAGCGGCTAATACCCATGGATCACCTGAAAGGTGTTAAGTATCCGCTTACCACTAACGCAGAATACGGTCGCCTCAAGCCATCGGCTCTCTTTTATTGCTTTGAGCCAAAACACCAACATGTTGCAATAATCCAAAGACAAAGTCAATAAAATATTTTCGTTAGTGTCTTACCTTATAGAGATTTTGGATGTTCTTGAAATCCTACACTTCCCTTAAATGGAACAGAAATATGCCAAAATGAATTGCGGAAGCATTTAGGCATTTAACGATTTGCTGACAGTAAAAACTACATTAAACGATTAAGTATCCGTTGCAATGGCTTCAAAAGCAGAGGCTGGGTGGAAGGGCTTCCCATGTTTTAAATTAATTTTATATATGGTACAATACATATCACCCCACAAAAAGCCCCCAGGACGGCAGTTTGGCGGAACTGCCGAGCAGTGGGCTCGTAAATTGGTAATGTTTGTAAGCCCTGTTTTATGGGTCGGCAATGGCCCAGTCTGTTTACCATAATTACCTGTTTATAATTAATTAAAATGCAATAAGCGTAAATTTGATAAAAGTGCCATGCACATGCTTACGCGGCAGCGATAATTTCGTATTCCAGTATCCAATATCAGCATTTTAATAAAACGAGTATCTTTGTTCATATGTGGACTTGAAAAGGTGAAATATTTCGCTAAATAAATCTAAATACCTATCAAAAACATCTATCAAATATTTTTATTAAAATAATCGAGCAATATTTCAGAGTGTAGTTGTTCATCTGGCGCGAGATGGAAATAAATTGATCAACTAAATTACAATCGAATAGATAAAGCGCAATAACGCGGGGCCGGGCCGGATACACGCATAAATTATTCAATGGCCATGTGGAGACGGGGAAGCCCTTACCCCCTTCCCGGCCAAAAAGTTGCGGGGAAACCGCGTGAAATTGCTGCATAAACACATTGGTTAATGCAATAAACCAGCAGTTGGGACTTCTGTGTGTTTGTGTTGTTTTTCTCCCCGTCCGAGCCACGCTTATTGACCATGAATAACTAACGGAAATGCAACACGAACAGTGGTCACGCCACCCTGCTCTTGCCACGTGCCCCAAATGCATCCGCCCTCAATCGATGATTCATAGGAGTTATGTGCGAGTGAAGGTGGATATGTGTGAAGTTTAATTGCGGTGACACTTTGATTTACGACCTCAAAAGGGAAATCTAAATGACTCAACCCGCATTTGAGGGCTGAAAAGATTGGCAAATGCATTGTCAAATAATTGTTTAGCAATTTGGCTTATTAGTAAGCCAAGACAATAGAAGTAAATAGATTTTTATGTCAAGTGAAGCCTTCTCTTTTCTCCGGGTGTACTTTTTCCATAAATAGGTTTCCTATAAGTAGCTATCCCTCTATTAGAAACCCAATTAGTTTGTGAAATCATCCATCTAATCAATGGATGATTTGTATATCAACTGAGGCCTGCTCTTTTTTCCGGGTGTACTTTTTCTATAAATACGTTTTCTATAAGCCGCTATCCCTCTATTACAAACCCAATTGGTTTGTGAAATCATCCATCTGATCAATGATATTACTTTATAGGATCAAGCCATTAGGATCTATCGGGCTTATGCCAGGAACACCAGGAAGTAACTTCCATGGCTTTTACTTTCAGTTTGGCAGAATGGACGAATGTGTCAGCCGGTTGTTGTGGTCGGCCAGTCTCTATGGTCACATTGTGGGCCTGAGCAACTTTGAGTTCGACTGGCGAAAAGGTCGTGTCTACACGACTTCAAGGAGCACCCTCCTCGCCATCTTGGCTAATGTCCTTGTGGTTGTCCTCCTGGTGGTCTATTATACTTTCCGAACGGATTTAACTGTTAACTTTGCTTCAGCCACCAAGCTACACGAATACGTTTTCATTGTGATGACTGGACTGCGAGTACTTGCTGGTAAATGTTGAATGTCACGCTTTGAAAGATCATTCCAGGACTTTATTTCAGGAGTCCTTACTATCATAAACAGATGGCGGCAACGCCGGCAAATGATGCATCTTGTCAGGTGCGTGATCCGGGTATATCGAGCCAAGCCGCAAGTGAAGAGAATGGTGCGATGGTCTATTCTTCTGAAGATATTTATAGGCGTTTCCACCAATTCCTTGCAATTCGCACTTGCGGCACATTCCTCCCTTTATGTCGGTCCTGTCCAGCTTATGGGAATGGTCCTGCAGTTCATGACTACTGCACTTATGAACTTGGCTGTATCCCAATACTACCTGATTATGTTGGTGGTTCGAGCCAACTATCTCCTTCTGAACAAGGAACTCCGGGCAATTATCGACGAGTGCAAGCATCTGAGTTATCACTCCCGTCGCAACGGAGTCTTTATGACCAAGTGCTGCTTCCTGGCTGATCAACTAGACAACATAGCTAGGATTCAAAGCGATTTAAATTCCATTGTCACCCAAATTCAAGAGGTCTTTGGCCTACAGGGGCTTATGGTATACACAGGATACTACATAACCTCTATAGGGGTCAACTATTTTCTCTTCAGCATGTACAAGTACGAAGGCACGAACATTCGAGTGACTTACATAACTCGAACCCTGGCATTTAGTTGGATGGCTTTATACTACGTAGACGCCCTTATTAATCTTGCTATCGTCCTCCAAGTCCAAGGAGATGAAGAGAAGATGAATCGACTTCTGGCGGAACGAACCTTGTTCGCCCCTGGCCTGGATGTCCGCCTGGAGGAATCTGTGAGTAAAATAATCAGCTCCCAAGGACCCCTCTTTCTTATTTTACTTTTTAGTTTGAAAATATGCAGATCCAGCTAGTGCGAAACCCATTGAAAATGTATGTGATGAAACTGTTTCCCAGCAATCGCGGTGGCACCACGGCCATGCTCTCGTCATTGTTTATGAATTCAATATACCTTATTCAGTACGATATGGCAAACTTTTAGGGGTTATTACTCCGAAAATAAGAAATAAAATACAGCATGCTACTTAGTACAGTGTGCTTCGAGTATGAGTGCCTACCGTCTGCCGTATATCTATGAATCACTTTTATCCTGGATGAGATCAGGAGTCCTTTGCAAGTCATACAATAAGCTAATTGGGTCTGCCAACAACCCTAGTCATTTAAACGAAATGTTTGACTGGGACGGTTGGCTGTTGAAGGTAGTTTACTACTACGGGTTTCTAGTCGGAATCTCCAACTTTGAAGTAGACTGGAATAGGTGTCGCGTCTTCAAAACTAGGAGGAGTACCATCTTCGCCATTGTTCATAATGTACTTGCCTGGGTCCTTGTGCTCAACTATTGGAAAGGTCGGGTCAGTTTCAATGTACTTTTTGGCAAAGCAAACAAGCTGCATGAGTATGTTGTCGTCATAATGTCCGGACTAAGAGTGGCATCTGGTAAAAAAAATTACCCAATTTGGCAGAATAGTAATCCATACAATCCATATAATCCATACATATTTTGTTGATAGGACTTCTAACCATAACTACAAGGTGGAGGCGACGTCGCCAGATTATGAGAATATTGAGGAGATTGTTCCGACTCTACTTGGCCAAGCCCCAAGTCAAAAGGATGTCCCGCCGGGCTATCCTTATCAAGTTTCTTAATGTTTGCATAACCGACTTATTGCAAATCACTCTCGGACTAGATGCCCTTCATAGAGTTGGGCCTGATCTGATATTGGGCATGGCTTTGCAGTTCTGCATGGTGTCCCTTATGACAGTAGCCATCAGCCAGTATTATTTGGTCATGCTGTTCATTCGGACGCAATACGTAATGCTCAACTCGGAGCTGCGAAGTGTGATCGAAGAGGCTAGGGGATTGAGATACCGCCCACACCGCAATGGAGTTTTCATGACCAAGTGCTGCGACCTATCGGATCGTTTGGACGACCTTGCCCAACAGCAGGACGAGATTCAGTCGATTGTGGCCAGCATCGCAGGAGCATTCGGCATGCAGGGCCTACTGGTTTACACAGCCTACTATTTATCCGCGATCTCTACTGCCTACCTGACCTACAGTCTTGTGAAGCACGGCATCGAAAACCTGGGTATGACCCTCGGCACGGTGGCGGTGTCCCTGACTTGGTGTTTTTTCTACTACGTCGATGCCTTAAGGAACCTCTTTGTAGTCCTCAGTATTCAAAATGAGCACAGGACCCTGATTCGTATCATAGAAGAGCGAACTGTTTTTCTTCCAGGACTAGACATTCGTCTTGAACTATCGGTAAGAGGTCTTGACTTAGTAATAATTAAATAATTACCCCCTTTTTCCAGTTTGAAAACTTTCAGTTCCAGTTGATTCGAAACCCTTTCACTATGAGCGTCATGAAAATTTTCCCCATCAACCATGGCTTTACCACGTTAATGTTTGCATCTCTGTTTATGAACTCGATATACCTCATTCAATACGATATGGCAAACTTTTAAGAATTATTACGCTGGGAATAAAGAGTAGATTACAATATGCCCTACAGAGTAAAGAATTCTTTGAGGTGGCACCGCGGTTGTATAAATCAACTTTATCAAGAAGATCAGGAGCCCTTTGCAAGTCAGTTAATAAACTAAGTTCATGCGTCTGCCAACTTCGCTCATTTTAGCGAAATGTTCGACTGGGACGGTTGGCTTTTGAAGTTCGTCTACTTCTACGGATTTCTGGTCGGAATATCCAACTTTGAAATCGATTGGAGTACGCGTCGCGTTTTCACAACCAAGAGGAGTACCATCTTTGCGGTTACGCATAATGTACTTTGCGTGATGCTTCTGTTCAACTATTGGCAACTTTTCCAGAAATTTAGTTCATTTTTTGGCCAAGCCAACAGCCTTCACAAGTTTTTAATAATTCTGATGTCCGGACTAAAAGTAGTATTTGGTAAACACTATAAATTATTACAAAGATGAGCATTTATATCTAAGAACTACGGTTTTTAGGTTTTATTATTATAGTCATTCGTTGGCGGCTGCGACGTAAGCTAATGAGGATAATGAGGAGACTGTTCCGCCTCTATGTGACCAGCTCACACACTAAAAAGATGGCCGGCATGGCGATACTTATAAAGATTCTAAATGTTTGCTTTGCCGACTGCATGCAAATAGCCATGGGAGTCAGCACTCTCAGTCACCATGGCTCGGCTCCGGTTTTGGGAATCAGTCTACAGTACAGTATGATATTTCTTATGACTGTAGCCACTACACAGTATTATCTAATTATGCTGTTTATTCGGATACAATACGCAACGCTAAACTCGGAGCTACGATGTTTGATCGAGGAGACCCGAACATTGAGCTATCGATCCCGACGTAAGGGAGCTTTCATGACGAAGTGTTGTGATCTGTCTGATCGATTGGACGACCTTGCCAAACGGCAGGATGAGATACAGTCAATTGTGATCCGCATTTCAAAGGAATTTGGAGTGCAGGGTCTATTGGTGTACACTGGATACTACATTAACTCTATTATTACCATTTATATGACTTACAGTCTATTAAGAAACGGCTTTGAAAGTCAAGGAGTTTCACTCAGCATGTTGATATTTCTTTATATTTGGTCCTTTTTTTACTATGCGGATGCCTTAAGAAACCTGTTTGTCGTCCTAGGTATTCAAAATGAGCACAAGGCCCTTATTCGAACCTTAGAAGAGCGAACCGGGTTTCCTCCGGGCCTAGATATCCGATTGGAACTATCGGTAAGGTGTCTAAAACTTGTAATAATAAAATAATTTCACCTTTATAATTTCACCTTTGTTTCTTTTAGTTTGAAAACTTCCAATTTCAGCTGATTCGGAACCCTTTTACCATGAGCGTCATGAACATAATTCCCATTGATCACCGCTTTACCACTTCAATGTTTGCATCACTTTTCATGAACTCTATATGCCTTATTCAATACGATATGGGAAACTTTTAAAAATTATTACTCTGGGAATAAACAGTAGGTTACAGTATGCTCCACAAAAACATCTATAAATCGACCATATCGAGGATTAGATTAGAAGCCCAAGTCACTCAATAAATTAATAAAATAATACAAACCCGCAAACTCTGCTCATTTTAGCGAAATTTTCGAGTCGGTTGCTTGGCTTTTGAAGGTATTTTGAAGTCAATCTGAGTACTAGTCGCGTTTTTAAAATAAAGAGGAGTACCATCTTTGCTTTCACTTATTTTTTTAATCAAAAATTGGCAATTGTCCATTTGTCTTAAACAATACGTCATGGCAAAATTTTAAAAAGAAAAAATCCCAATACATTTAATATTTATATAGGGAAGGACTTTTGATAGATACATGAAACATAAGTGTTAGTTTCTAGCTCCAGACTAGCTTTTAAGCCCCTAGACATTAATCCAATCTAATCATATCATCGCCCCCCAAAATCAGCCCATTTCTGCTGAGTTCATAGCTATAATTTAATTACCCTTCACTAACAAGAAACTTTGAGGGCATTGAGGTTGCCAAAGGCTGTCATTGTAACAAAATGTTTGACTGGGTCGGTTGCTTGCTAAAGGCTCTGTACTGCTACGGATTTTTAATCGGCGTTTCTAACTTCGAAGTAGATTGGAAAACGGGTCGCGCCTACAAAACACCCAAATGTACGACTCTAGCAGCTTTAATCAATTTCCTGACAATGGCTCTATTAATTGTTTACTTGAGTGGCAATACCCAGTTGAATATCATCTCTAAAAGTGCTAATAAACTTCACGAGTATGTGGTTCAGGTGATGGCAGTGCTGAGAACCGTTGCTGGTACAAAATTAAGTCAATAAGTGCTGAAGAAGTCTCTATCGTTTTTGTTATTAGGATTTACTGTCATCCTCTATAGATGGCGCCAACGCCCCCAATTGATGATCTTGGTGAGGATGGTGTTCCGGCTTTTTTTGCACAGGCCACAAACGATGAGGATGTCCCGGTGGGTGATTCTAAGCAAGGTCATTACAGTTTGCATATCTGACCTCCTTCAAGTTGCACTCACCTTGGAGGGCTTGAACCACCTCGGCTTTAGGCAGATACAGGGAATGGCTTTCCAGTTCGCCATGGCGGCCCTAACGAGTTTCGCCATAACCCAGCATTATCTGGTGATGCTGTTTGTCCGCATTCAGTACCAGATCCTTAACTCCGAACTAAAGCTGGTGATAGAGGAGAGCCGCTGGCTGAGCTACCACTCTCCACGAAATGGAGTATTTATGACCAGGTGCTGCTACCTCGCGGACCAACTGGAGAATATCAGCAACTGGCAGGACCAGATCCAGTCCATTGTGACGTATTTGGGAGAGGTGTTTGGCGTGCAGGGACTACTGGCCTACAGTGGAAACTACATCAACTCTGTGGGCACCACTTACCTCACCTTCAGTCTCTACAAATACGGACGCGATACTATTGGACTGCCGCTGAAATCACTAATATTGTCCTTTATTTGGTGCTTTTTTGATTACCTTAATGCTCTCAGGAGTCATTTTCTTATGCTGAGTATTGAAGATGAGCACCAGAAGACCATGCGTCTGCTGGAGGAGCGCACAGTGTTTGCTCCCGGCTTGGATGTACGGCTAGAACAGTCCGTAGGTTACCTTGCTTATAGTAGGTTAAAGGAAATAGTTAACACTACCTTTTTTCCAGTTTGAAGCCTTTCAGTTCCAGCTGGCCAGGAATCCTTTGAAAATGCACGTCATGAACATGTTTCCCATAAGTCATACGTTCACCACAGCCATGTTTTCATCATTAGCAATGAATACTATATACCTAATTCAATACGACATGGAAAATTTTTAAAGCATTTTCAGTATAATTATAATACCTAGAAGCTCCTGTATCAAATTGTCTACTACAATCATTTCGTTTGATTATTTTAAGCTTCTATATATTAAGCCAATCTACTTACGTAATCTCCATAAAAGATCAAAATAAGGGCCACCAGCTCGGTGACAGCTAGCGATTCCTGCCAGGCACACATTAGTTTAGAAAAATGTTTGACTGGGTCGGTTGGTTGCTAAGAGCGGTCTACATCTACGGATTCTTAATCGGGGTTTCTAACTTCGAAATTGACTGGAGGGCTGGTCGCGTCTTAAAGTCCATTAGAAGTACAGCTTATGCAGCTACAATCAACATTTTGACAGTGCTAGTTCTGGGTTTTCAAGTGGGAACTGACACCAACTTGAATGTAATCTTTGGGAATGCGAACAAGCTTCACGAATATGTGATTATTGTGATGTCGGTTCTAAGAATCATTTCCGGTGAGTTTAATATGAATTGGCTTATATTATTCCCATAAATATTATAATTGGTGCTTTTTGTATTACAGGACTTACTGTGCTACTGACTAGATGGCAACAGCGCTGCAAGCTCATGACGCTTGTCAGGATACTGTTTCGGCTCTATTTGGAAAAGCCTCAGATCAAAAGAATGTCCCGATGGGCGATTCTCACCAAAACGATCACTGTTACCTTGAAAGACTTTCTTCAAATAGCATTGGCTTTGGAAGCCCTGGGCCGTCTTGGGGCCAGACAGGCCTTAGGAATGTATATGCAGTTCGGTATGGCGGCTCTCATGAGCTACGCCCTATCCCAACATTACCTGATAATGCTTTTCGTCAGAGTGGAATACCAGATACTCAACTCTGAGCTCGAACAGGTGATTGAGGAGAGCTGCTGGTTGAGCTACCACTCTCCACGCAATGGAGTATTCATGACCAAGTGCTGCTATTTGGCTGACAGGTTGGAAGATATTGGAAAGAGGCAGGACGAGGTTCAATCAATTGTGACATATTTAGGAGAAGTTTTTGCGGTGCAGGGACTTCTGGCCTTTACAGAAAACTATATTAGCTCAGTGGGTACCACCTATCTAATCTTTAGCCTCTTTAAATACGGTCGCGAAAGGTTGGGAATGCCATTGAACGCCGTAATCTTTTCAATATGTTGGTGCTTTTTCCACTATCTTGATTCCTTCAGGAGCCATTTTCTCATGCTGAGTATTCTGGACGAGCATCGGAGGATGGCCGGTCTTTTGAAGAAGAGCAGTATGTTTGCTCCAGGATTGGACGTGCGACTTGAACAATCGGTAGGTCAGTTTGCTTTTTGAGAAATTATTCTTCATCTTTTGTTTTCCAGTTTGAAACCTATCTGTTTCAGCTGGCCAGGAATCCGTTGAAAATGCACGTAATGCAAATGTTTCCCATAAGCCATACGTTTACCACAGCCATGTTTGGATCTATAGCCATGAACTCTATATATCTTATACAATATGATATGGAAAATTTCTAATTAATTTTTGGATTCTGAAGTTGGAATTCTACGAAGGACTTTTAATTAAAGAATTGTAACCTACACAAAGAAATTATCTTTTCAAGGGTAGAAAATTACTTCTATGAAGCATAATATAGCATAATATGAGTAAACGACTGAAGCATAACTCTCATTGATTAGGGTGGCACCCTTTCCCGATTAGCATACCAACATACCACTCACCCTAGTCATTTTAGTAACTCATCCCCAGGTAAAGGACACGCATATCAGATGCCACTATGTTGGAACGGGCTCTAAAAGTAAATTCAAGAACTAAAAATATTAAGAAGCAGCAGCCCATGATGCGGTTTTTTGTTTTATGCATCTGCTGGATCACGTATCTTGTCTACCGCGGATTTGTGATGGGGAGAATAAAATACGATTCCCAAAAGAAAAAGATGATTGTTCATCCCCGAAATCCGTATACCCAGTCTATAGCTTTATTGCTTCAACTTTGTTTCGCGTTTTTCGATACTTTTGGAATTGTGTACATTTGTTTGGCAACTGTCCCCATGATTTACTACAGGGATCAAAGATTCTCCGACCACAAGTTATTCGGGAGTGTCATAATTTCGATTGCGATGGTGTTGTATCTGGTAAAAACGATACTCCTGATTGCTTGGCTGAAGAGTTTAGAGTGGAATAAATATGCGGTTCAACTTGCCAATGAAGTGATAAGTTTGACGAACTTCATGGAAAGTTCATTTGGACGTCTTTCCTGGGAGTGCAGTTACTTTATATTTTTTTTCTGGGTCCTGTTTCCAATGACAGTTTTTGAATCGTACAATTACTTTGCGGTGCCCATGCGCTTATATGCGTTTAGCACCATATTGCTGCAGATAATCTACAATGCCTACGCTGTCTATCAAATGCTGCTCCTATCGTGGATCCAAACTTTAAATAGCTTTCTTAAGGTTTGTGCTTCAAAATTGTGCAATATTTGTCTGCCATCTTATAACTTTATTTTGTGCATTGCAAGAACTATCATCAGCCATGTCGTTCAAGTCGACGTCAGAAATGGAAGCTCTTCCAGCTGCTTAGAGTTTACTCAAGAATCAGTCATGGCCACAAAAATATCGACAAGCTTTGGATACCAGTTTCCAGACTTCTATACTCCGATATTGTCATATTAACCTGCTTTTGGACGATTATCGTCCAATGTGTTCTCTACGACCATAAGCGAGATGCGAGAAGTAAATGGGCGTACCTCATGCAGAAATACATTGGCATTTGCCTAGTTCCCCTGATAAGGATCGCCTTTGTTTCTATTTGCAACGATCGCCTAGCTCAACTGCAAACCATAATGCGACTGAATCTTCTTAAAATCGATCTTACTTTTACTTCGATTACTTTTCTTCAGCACAGTTGTTTGGATTTTCAACTGCCAGGAGAGACTCTTAAAAATAACATAATAAATGCGAATCATGTGTGTGGACGTCACTTCTTTCTGGAGTTTATTTTCTGCCTTATGCTGAATACATTGAACTTTGTACAATACAATTTAAGTGTGGGTCACGAAAATTATGAATGGACCTCCTAAATAACAAATACTAATGTATTTGTAACTACTAATTAATGTAATTTCATTGCGCAGCAGACAACCAATTTATACACAGTTAGATATCCCGCTTAGTAATAACCCAAAGTACAAAAGAAAACTACTCAATAAAATGAGGTTTATCCCCAAAAACAGGACTTTCGATGAAGCAGTCTGAAAATGCAGCGAAAGGGAAAGCACCTGGGAGGCGGAGGACTGAAACAACAATGGCATCGGTGGACTATCGTAGCAATCAGCTTTTGGACGTATATACTGTATCGCGGATGTGTGATCGGGCAGATAGAGTACGACTTTCGTAAAAAAAGAATGATTACCGAGCCTCGAAATCAGTGGATCACGAAAATTGGCTGTCTTATAAAAATTGGTCTTGCGTATATGGACTTGTTTGGCTTTACGTATTTATTTTATCTTATCTTTCCGATAGTAACATTAAGATACGATTTTTTTCAAATGAAAAATAATAATTATTTTACCCAAATGGTTTTGGTGCTTACTGTGCTGGTGTTTTTTATAAAAACTATTTGCCTAATTGTTTTAACGAGGAGTCAAATGTGGAGTCAATCGTTTGTGCGGTTGGCAAACGAAGTAATAGAGCTAAACTTCGCCATTAAACATTCCATGGGACCCCCTTCACTGGAAGGCTGCAATTTTCTCATAGTTTTTGGATTGCAGATTTTTATGAATGCACATGAAGTCTGTTACTACCTGGGAATTGGAACGATCTATTTCGGCCTAAGCTCACTTTTATTACAACTACTCTACAATGGCTATGCAATTTACCTAGTGCTACTTCTATCTTGGATTGGAACCATGATTCGCTTCTTAGAGGTAAGAGGTTTAACAATTCCCTATTTGTTGCAAAAATTTTTTTAATTCGTGTATTAATAGGTTTATCGAAAAGAAAGGTGCCCCAAAACGCGGCGTTTAAAACTTCATCAACTTTACCGGTTCTACTCCAGAATCGTAAACTGTCACAAAAATATAACACAGCTATGGCTATCAGTGTCCTTTTTTATTTTCTTCGACGTTGTGATACTGGTATCTGAGTGGACAAAAATTATCTATTATGTTTTTTATAATCACAGCATCAATACGGGTGGAAAATGGGATTACGTAATGGAGGAAAAAATCGGTTGTGCTCTGAGTCCCCTACTAAGGGTTCTTCTTCTTGGTCTGTGTAATGATCGCCTCTTTCACTTGGAAAAACTGTTTCAGTTGAATCTGCTTGGCATTGATCTGAATATTATAAAGAATGAATATGGAGTGGAAATTAATACAAACGAAAAGAGGAAAAACCAGGTATGAAGGTACTTTGGCATAGTAATTAGTTTAAAAACCTGACGTTTAATATTTTTCTTCTTTAAAGCTTGACCACATTGACTTACATTTTCAAGTCCAGTCATTTGGAAAAGAAATCATAATCAGGAATAATGCTTGTGGATGTAACTTTGTCTTAAATTTCTTTTTTTGCGTCTTGATGACTGCCCTAAGTTTTGTGCAGTTTTCTTTATCTACTGGATTCAGGTTTCGAAATATTTCATAATAAATACATAAAAATAAGATATTTTTAAATGAATTCACATAAATATAAGTTCAAATGAACATAGCATCCACTTAAACCACATCACCGACCACAAACTTATGTCGATTATGTCGAATTTAAATAGTAACCTTGATTGCTCGGCTCACACTGCACACTTCGGTTTTACAGAAATAAATAGAGTCTAGTTTTTCAAGACGTAAAAATAAACGGAAGTTTACGCTCTCTTCGAAGTTTTGGATAGTGGACTTGTCCACGGGCTCATACTCCTTACGCTATTTTCGATCGATAATAATACCCTTGCAGAGGGCATTATAATTTTGGAAGATAGAAGCTTGGACTTTTTCTTCGATTTTTTATTGAAATAAATTTGTTTTTTTAAGATATGCTCATCAGGATCGGCCAACTATGTATATCCCGTGCTCGCGATATACATATATCCGGTTTTAACTGCAAGGGTATATCAACATGGCTCTGGCCGAAGTAAGCTTTTCCTTCCTGTTTTTGTTTCTATTTGCAAGGATTGTCTCAATCATCTAGGAAAATACGGCATTTTCTTAATAGAAAAACTAAGTGGACTGGTGAGTACTTGTTAAATAACAGTCATTACTTTTCTTTATCGCAATTGTTTGGACTTGCAACTGTCAGAAAAGACTCTAAAAAATAACATGTGTGACGTCCACTTCTTTATGAAGTTCAATTTTTGCCTAATGTTGAATACATCAATGGGCCTCCTAAATAACAAATACGAATAATTTAACATAATTTAGTTGTTCAACAGACAACCCATTTATACACAGTTATAACCACAAATAACCCAAAGTACAAAAGAAAACTACTCAATAAAATGAGGGTTAGCCCCAAAAACAGGATCTTCGATGAAGCAGTCTGAAAATGCAGCGAAAGGGAAAGCACATGGGAGGCGGAGTACTGAAACATCAATGGCATCGGTGGACTATCCTAGCAATCTGCTTTTGGACGTATATACTGTATCGCGGATGTGTGATCGGGCAGATAGAGTACGACTTTCGTAAAAAAAGAATGATTACCGAGCCTCGAAATCCGTGGATCACGAAAATTGCCTGTCTTATAAAAATTGGTCTTGCGTGTATGGACTTGTTTGGAATGGTGTATCTATTTTGTACTTTCATACCGATAGTAGCATTAAGACACGATTTTGGTAAACCAATGGTGAGAAATTATTTTACCCATATGGTTTTGGTGTTGACGATGCAGTTGTTTCTTATAAAAACTATTTGCCTAATTGTTTTAACGAGGAGTCAAATGTGGAGTCAATCGTTTGTTCGGTTGGCAAACGAAGTAATAGAGCTAAACTTCGCCATTAAACATTCCATGGGACCCCCTTCTCTGGAAGGCAGCCATTTTCTCATCGTTTTTGGATTGCAGATTTTTATGAATGCACATGAAGTCTGTTACTACCTGGGAATTGGAACGATCTATTTCGGCCTAAGCTCACTTTTATTACAACTACTCTACAATGGCTATGCAATTTACCTAGTGCTACTTCTATCTTGGATTGGAACCATGATTCGCTTCTTAGAGGTAAGAGGTTTAACAATTCCCTATTTGTTGCAAAAATTTTTATAATTCGTGTATTAATAGGTTTATCGAAAAGAAGGGTGCCCCAAAACGCGGCGTTTAAAACTTCTTCAACTTTACCGGTTCTACTCCAGAATCGTAAACTGTCACAAAAATATAACACAGCTATGGCTATCAGTGTCCTTTTTTATTTTCTTCGACGTTGTGATACTGGTATCTGAGTGGACAAATAATATATATTTGCTTTTTTATGATCACAGCTTCGGTGCGGTTGAAAAATGGGATTACGTGATGAAGAAAAAAATCGGTTGTGCTCTGAGTCTCCTACTAAGAATTCTTCTCGTTGGTTTGTGTAATGATCGCCTCTTTTATCTGGAAAAACTGTTTCAGTTGAATCTGCTTGGCATTGATCTGAATAATATAAAGAATGAATATGGAGTGGACATTAACACAAACGAAAAAAGGAAAAACCAGGTATGAAGGTACTTTGGCATACTAATTAGTTTAAAAACCTGACGTTTTAATATTTTTCTTCTTTAAAGCTTGACCACATTGACTTACATTCGCAAGTCCAGTCATTTGGAAAAGAAATCATAATCATGAATAATGCTTGTGGATGTAACTTTGTCCTAAATTTCTTTTTTTGCGTCTTGATGACTGCCCTAAGTTTTGTGCAGTTTTCTTTATCTACTGGACACAGATTTGTAAATTTGTAGTAATAAATACTATAAAATAGTAAATAATAAATAAATAAATACATACATGGATATAACTTTTTTCGCGTTAATTCAAAAATTGATGGCATCCACTTAAACCACATCACCAATCACAATAATTTTGTCGATGCCTCGTTATTGAAATAGTAAACTCGATTGCTGGGCACACCAGGTTTTCGAGAAATAAATAGTGTCTTCTCCTTTAAAACGTAAAAATAAACGGAATTTCTTCCAAACGGTTGGATCTTAGACCTTTTCGTAGGGTGATTCTTTTTCCGATTGATATCGATCTAACGTTTTCTCTATATAGAAACTAACCAGGTGTTGTTTTCGATCGATGTGAGCATATAACAAGAAAGAAAAGCTAACTTCGGGCGGAGCCGAAGTTTATATACCCTTGCAGTTAAAACCGGATATATATCGCAAACATAGGATATAGTTGGCCGATCCTTATGGGAATATGAATATATAATCCAATTTATTACAATACAAAATCTAAAAAAAGTCCCAAGATTCTATCTTCAAAAATAAGAAAGTTGGTATTTCTACCAAAAACCATTTCCGATCGTTCAGTTATATGGCAGCTATAAGATATAGTCGGCCGATCATTATGAAATTTGGTAGAATATAAAGAATATAATCTGTACCAAGTTCCAGCTTTCTATCTTCAAAAACACGAAAGTTGGGTCATTTCCGATCGTTCAGTTATATGGCAGCTATAGGATATAGTCGGCCGACGAAATGTAGCATGTCGTATTATTTTGCCAAAAATAGCGCTCGTGTAAAATTTGAACTCTCTAACTCTAAAAACACCATTTTATAGTTATACCATTTCCATTTTATAGGATATAGTTGGCCGATTCCGGTCGTTCCGACTTATATACTGCGTGCAAAGGAAAGAAGGGTGTGTGCAAAGTTTCAAGTCGATAGCTTTATAACTGAGAGACTAGTTCGCGTAGAAACAGACAGACAGACGGACAGAGGGACATGCTCATATCAACTCAGGAGGTGATCCTGATCAAGAATATATATACTTTATAGGGTCGGAGGTGTCTCCTTCACTGCGTTGCACACTTTTGACCAAAATTATAATACCCTCTGCAAGGGTATAAAAAGGGATATGGTGTGTAGTAGCCAAGACATTCAATTTTTTGTAGTAGACACTGCAAAGACGTCTGCATTTCCCATTTGGCTATGTTTCTCGATCCAATTTCATCCAAAATTTTATTTGTGAGAGCTTGAATCGTGGACGGCGCACATAAATTTCAATTAACATAAATTTAATGTCAGCAGACAAAGTTGCGCCACGCTCACACACTCGAATAAATAGCATTTTCAATTATTGTCTGGTGCAGAAAAGTTTGTCTTTGGGACCCAGTCCCAGCCCCTTAGAAGGGTCGTCATCCATTCCCGCCCTTCGGGTGCAGCTCTTCTGGATCTAAATGCACTTGACTCTGGAGAGGTTACAGCCTGGCTGGAAGGCGGAGGCGAGGTGGTGCGTGGCACTTTAAGCCGCATATAGCAAATGGTCAGAGGCAAAGCAAATTGCTGAAAGGCGCTTATGCAAAGCGATCAAAATGCGAGGCGACATAAACCGAAAACAAGAATCGAAAGAGGTTGGATGGGCTGGGAAGGAAAATCCCAACCCCAAGGCAGTAAAACCAATTTGAAATTGTTATTTTAAGCGAAAGTAAATCGCAGAGAAAGGATTGTGCGAGGGGTGAGTCGTAAAAAATCAAATATCGGTTGAGTATGCCGCCGCTGTAGATGGCATCAGCCATTTGTGGCCAGATAAGCAGTCTCCGGGACACACCGCATCCACCCACCCGGCCTCCCCTTTGTTTAGATATATGAAAATGGCCCCAACACATTTTCGCATTTCGGCCCACCCGCTGCTGGCCATAAAAATTCCAGGTAACGAAATGTATTTTCTGATGAAATCAGCACTAGATGAGGATGCGTGTATCGGTATTGGGGTAACTGTTTCAGGCTCCCAGTTAAGGTCTGAGAGCTGGGTCCGAGCTGCAAATCTTTCGAAGCCAATAAAAATGGCCAACATAATGATCCCAACAACAGTGGCCTCGATAAAATGTAAATTGGGGCAAGGATTCCGCACGGAACTGATTTTATTTCAGCCGACTATGGCTTGGATTGCTGTGATATTGGCTAAAAGGTGTAGTCACACAAAAGGTAAGTTAAATTTAAAAATTAGGCTTTAAATGTGATGTAATCTTTTGCTTTTATTAATAAACTTAAAGCCATTATCTGCATTGGTAGGCCAAATTGTTAAAACCGCAGCTCGGCTTCCGCAATTGCGATGCTATTTTTCCCAACACGTAACGGCAATGACACGAAATCATTTCCATTTCCCCGGACAAAATGCCTTTTAATGGGCCGGACCCAGACCCGGACCCGGCCCAGACTTTCTACACGCTAGATGTGTAGAAATTCTGTCCAGAACCTATGTATATAATTTACGGCCCGGGCAATGGCGTATGATGTGCCAGAAATTGCAGCACCCCAAGGACAGTCGGGCACAAAAAAATATATCTGTATGTACGGATGCGGACGGGAAGGCAGCAATTTTTTATTTATTTTTATGAGTAATTTTGTTCGTTGCCACGCATTTTTATTGCAATGCAAGAAATATGATTGTAGCCACTGGAATTTCGTCAGATTGTCTCCACAGGAGCGGACTTCCACAGGAATGCGGAGAATCCAATGCGAATGACAATGGTGTTTGACCAAAATAGATTTCTGGAATTGAATGAATATTAGGATTTGTGCTTCTATTTGATTTTGAAAGGCGAAGATTAACTATCCGAGTACGCTGCGCACCTGAAAAGCTCGCAAAAAATGGAAAAAACCAATGCAAAAGGAAGAAAGCATAGTAAACAAAAGGCAATTACGTGACGGCGACAAGGACAATGACAACGCAGGCTCGTCCTGGAGCAGTCGGGACAGGAGCTGAAGTGGCACGTAATCCGGCAATGGGGCGTGGCCAATGGACACTGGCAGACACTTTTATTGCAAATCATTTCAAATGCTGCAAATGATAACAACAACCCAACGAGACGACAACAAAGAATGACAGCCGGCAAAGTGACATTGTGTGGATCGCCCAGTTTTCCCCCATCAGCTCTGTCCCATTCCCCGCACTGCCCGCCTGCATGGAAATCGATTCAAGGTGCAATCATCCTGTCTGTCGTCCTGCCACCGATAACTGAAGCGAATCGGGTAATGGATAAACAATATGGACAGCAGTGGAAAGATTGCAGATGCTTAAGCCAGAAAGGTGACAAGGAATGTTCTCACCTCGGTCTCTATTTGTCAGAAGGATTTAAAGGATTCATCTTCGTTTTGCTGCATTTTTAGATTCAAAATACTTGAGAAGCTCAAAGTTTCTATTTGGTTTGAAGTATGATTTCAAATGAAAACCAATTGATAGCCTCGATTACCTTTAGAAAAACAATGAAAGTCAAATTCAACAAGTCTCTTGTGCAATTTGGGGAACCCTTCATCCGAACACCAAACAAAACCATCATCCTAGGAATGTGTCTCAGGCTCGGAGCCCAAATTGCATATTCCTTCCAATTGAACGAGCTCAATTAAACTTTCGGCCATATCGCCATCAGTTTTTAACAGCTTTCCCCCTCGTGAGACCACCCACCTCAGTAACTTTCGGCATCCCGATTTGTATGAACTGGAGCTTAACTTATCATTGGCAAATGGGATGCCAGGACGGCAGGATACCAGGGCAGGCAGCCAGGCAGGCAGGATATCGGGCTGGAAGGTGAGGGGGCAATCAAAAAGTTTACCTGTGCCGCAAATTGATGCCGTCTTATCTGTGCGAAATCAAACATGAAACTTTTAAGCCCCACACAATTGAGCTTAATACGCCGAAAGTATCTGCCAGATACAGATACACATCGTCGGGCTGGAACTACAGCTTAAGTGGAACTGGAATTATGGCAACCGAAACCAGGAATTAGTCTCATTTTCCTCCCGAATATCCCTACAAAATCTGCTCCTGTCTGTCTTTTGGGTGCTGACAAATCTGATTTATGTGACATTTGATAGCTCCGGATAGCAGGTGGGAATTTTTTCCCAACTGCTCATTTGCGGCCATTTGTCGACTGGCTAATAAATCTGGGTAGTCATCTCCTGGCTGCCTTGTATCTGGCAGCCTCGTATCCCTGCATCTCTGGCACTTATAATTTGTTTGGCTTTGTCCTCGGAATTTATCAAATGTTCTTATGGTATTTCAGTGGCAGCTTATTAGTGAAGTCCGGCCAGGACCTTTTTCTTCTTTTTGTCTACGCGGCTGAGGTGCGACTTAGGGATAAGCCGGAAGATATTTTCTATTTATTTTTTGTCCCTGCTGCCAGAGCTTTGCTGCTAGTGAGCAAATGAAATTTGGCAGATTCCTGAGCTACACTAAGGAAATTTGTTTCACCCCCATTTAATAAAGAAGAAATGTTTTTCTTTAGATTGGCGAAATATGTTTAGTACTTTTCACCCCATTTTGGGTACAAGCCATCTGAGCAAGTACACATATCTATTCATTGCATTGCTCTCAGTGTCCTTTTTTGTTGTGTTACTGCTCCTTTTTTACTGCTAAATGTTTTGGGGTCCATTCGCACTCCCCCGCCCAGTGTCCTTTTGTCGTCGAAGGTTGTTGTCACGTTCGCCGAGAACATTTTCACGTATTTGAAATATTTTCTTAAAATTACCCAATTTTCTTTGTGTTGCATCCAGCTGAAATAAAAAGAATCCTGCAGCAGGACAAGTTAACTTGCCAGGCTTTCCCCAGTAATTGCGGAGAGATATGAGTCTCCTCCAGGATTTGAAAATAATCATCGCTTGATTTCGATTTTGAAACAAATATGTTTATTAATGAACTTCCACTCGTTAATTCACAATTATTCAATCGGTTCGATCTGTGGGGACGGCGAATAAGGATCGCCAGACCCCACGAACGAGGCTTAAAGATATTTACAGAGACTTGTCCTCCTCGGCCGACCAACCGATGGCAGTTAAATTCAGTTGAAGTTACTTTATGGCATTTGATTTGAGTTGAGTTGTAAATAATTCTTATTTGCATATTTTGCAGCTTGTTAGGTTTGAATTGTTTACGTTCACATAGATTTAATCGTATAGATTCGAATGCATTCTTGGTTTTATTTCCTTTCATCGTTTTTATACAGCTAAAAGTTGTTATTTAAATACACAAATAATTTACACTTACAATTACCACACATTTATGTTTTGTTTTTTTTTCGAATTAACGTTTATGCAATTAATAGTTTTTAGTACTTCTGCTCTTGCATTATTTTTGTTTTTTTGTTTATTCCATTATTTTTTGTCAATTAAAGTTAATGGCATCGATATTAAATAAGATTTTAAAAACAGTTACAGTTGACAACAATGCAGATTTATATATGTATGTGTGTGTGTCGGTTTTTATGTATAATTATATAATTCTAGGCTTAAATTCGCACTCACACTCGCACCTCACGCGGCCATGCACTCGCCATTGCACACAATTAGCATTTGAATTACGCTCATCGATATTCAAATTTTAATTAATATATATTTCTTACTTTTAAAATTGGCGCTCTTTTTATATTTTTATGGAGTTTTTTTTTGTGTTTTGTTCTATGTTTTCGGCTGCCATCATGCTGGCATCTTAACTCTAATTTAGTTAGCTCGTAATCGTATTTACACACAGAGTTTATGGACATCGAGGGGAAAACAGTGTGGAGTTCATGGACAAAGACTTTCCTATTTACACAATACGATTTCAGTTTCAGTTGATTTGATTCTGTTCAATTTCATTTAATTCGAATTCAATTGAATTTGAATTGAGTTCAACAGTGGTATTAAGGCTTCATCACAATCATTTTGCTATTGTTTAAATTTGTTTCATTTTTCCATTACTTTCGATTGGCTCTTTTCGCCTGACCTTTGCTATTGTTCCTAACATTTGGCTAACTAAACAGTTTACAATTGAACCCGGAATGTTAATAGTTTACAAAGGGAACGGGGTACACGGGATACGGGATAATTAAACGTATTAAAGGACACGCACACCTACGCAGGACATTCGCTTTTAGTTAATACCCATTAAGACTTTGGCAATTCATATAAATGTACGATATGTTTTTGTTAGTTTTAAGACTTTTCCAACAGTCACCAAGTTTAAATTTCTAACTTTGATTTCATTTTCTCTCATTCATATTTTGTTTAGAACTAAGTGCGTTTTTGGTTTGCATTTCGTGTGTATCTTAACTACAGATAGCGTTTATCGGATTTAATTAATTACATGTTTGGATTATTCAATCAGTGCTAGAGAAGAACGAAAACGCTATTCAAATGATTCGATTTCAAAGCATATTAGTCGATTCTAGCAAATGCTCTTAAGTCCTTAATGGAAAGTGACGCAAATGTAAATAAAGGTATCCTTTCAGAGCTATTGTTGGCGAAACATTAAATCCTTATGCGCACTGAACAGATGTTACATTCTAGAAGCTAAGTATTTCTTTATGGTTATTTATATTCTTTCTGTAAACTCGTAATTTTTATCCCAACTTCTGTTGGAGTTCTTCCAAAACTTTGCTCAACCTTCGTGTGATATTTAATTGCTGTATGTGTATGGTGTGAGAGTGGCTTAAAAATTAATAACATACAATACAGTTACATAAATATATGTATTAAGAATTAACTATTTACAGTTTTTTTATATTTCTTTCCACAGTGGACGACGTCCACCTCTCAACATTCTTCGTTTTCTTCCACTAAAGTTTAAACATTAAGTAATATTAATAAGATTCCATTTCTTTACAAATTAAATTCATAAAAGCTTTTGTTAAGGGCATAAATGATCTGAATTTAGTTGGCTTTCTTGTTTTGTTTGGTATCCTTCTGTATCCTGGTTTCTCTATGCGAAGCGAAGACGGAAAATCGGTGAAAAGTGTGTCTGTTGTGGAGGGAAAGCGCCACCTGCGGCTTAATGCAGCTACCGCGTAGCCACAGCGATTTTTCCCGACTGCGTCGCGGATTTTCCACAGCTTGCCCTTTGATTTTCCTCCTTCCGGCTAGCCAGCAACTCACTCGCCTGCGGCAGGACATCACCTCCCTCCGCTATCCGAGCCACTGCCCCTCCCATCATCCCGTCCATGGCGTCGTCGTCCTGTCGTCGTCCCCCGGCGGGGCCCGCCACGCTGGCCACCGCCACCGCCAGTGCCACCATCAGTAGGGCGAGGGTCGTCGGGCCGGAGGGGGACGGAGAGGCGGAACTGGCTGCATTGGGATGGACGAAAAGCGATAAGATTTTGGTCACAAACAGTTCCCGATAAGACGTACCTTGGACGGGGTCGGCGCGTGAGTTGCTGGCGAACACGGTCTCCCTCGATTCGAGCACGGGCGCCTTCTGCGGCCGGTCGCCCTCCACGGACTCCTCGTTGCTTCTCCAGTACAAGGTCGACAACGAGGCCACGCACTGCAAGATGCAACAGAGGGGTATTATCTAATTCTGTTATGAACTATACAGTCGAACTTCCCTAGCTAGTGGGTCTATCTGAATGATTTTTAGGATAAAGGATCAACTTAAAATTCCCCCTTCCTAGGTGGTCTTGAAAATTTCTTATAATTAAATGAAGAATATGTGCAAAAAGAAAAATATAAATGAAATAAGTAACTACCACCTTCTTCATATAACAAACAAAAGTATAAACCAATCACCATTTAAACATCAAGTTATATTTCAAAATATCAGCTCAAGAAGTTCGACAGTATTGGTATGCAAATGCTATCAGGACTCACCTTCAGTTTCATGTCGCCATTTCGAAAGTGCTTCTGCTCCACCCGGAACTGGAGGCCCAGCACGGAAGTCTCCAGGCCCTCGCGTCCCGAGACAATGGTGTCGTATTTCCTTAGCTTCTGGGGCTCGGCGATCTCTCCGTTCACGAACCAGGAAAGCTCCACAGCGGGCTTGGACCGTCCGGCAGTGCAATTGATGCGAACATAGTCTCCAATCTGGTAACGCGGCCTTCCTCCGCTGATCTTGGGCGGTCCTTGATCGGGTAGAGCTTTAAGTGGGAGAGTAAAAACACATTTTTAAAAACGCAATTCCAATTTGGTAGTAACAGCTCTGTGAGGAGGGGTAGGAGTACAAAAGGAAGGGTGCTGGTAACTGGATTCCGTAATAAACCTAAGCCGCCACAGGAAAAACAACGGAGCGATGGGGAAAATTCAAAGGGACAGTAAAGTCAACGGAGCGCAGCCGGAAATTCAATAAAAGTTCCAGCCGCTGATGCACTACGGACATCGGATAAAATTGCAAACAGCACAAAAATAAGAGAAAAATGCGATAAAAATAAGGAGACCCAATAAAAGTGCCTCGCTGAAGTGTCAACACCCTAACGATAAATGTGAAAAGTTTATTGAATTTCCTTTCATCCAGTTTTATTGCAAGTTCAGATAGCCATCGAGGCCCATGTTATATTTATCGAATTTTAAGAGACTTTTTAATTATTTTAATATGAGTTATAGGCCCAAGCTGGACTTGTCATCTGATGGACTCTTCTCGTAGATATCTGGATTCTGAAAACGGAAGCGGAAATGGTTTCGACTTGATGTTGGTTTTCCAGTTGTTGTTTGCCAAGGGGCCCCCGAAAAAGGCGTTTGGCGAGTGGGTGGCAGTCGGGTGGCTGGGTGCTGAGCTGTGGCATATGCCCGGCTCGTTCTGCTGCCGAAGCTTTTAAAAACTTTGATTGAAAGCCAAACAGAAACAGCCGGGACCGCAGCAAGAGCAGCGGCAGCAGCAACACAACAAAACAGAAAGCCAGGAAACAAAAGCACAACAAAAGCCCCCGGTTAGAACAAAGACACAGTCCACACTAAACAATAAAAGGGAGACGGCTCTGCTGGACGGAGTGGGTGTCAGATGGTGGGTGGTGATGTCCTGGAAGGCGTTGAAGGGCCTGGCTCAGAGCCACGCCCACGCAAAAGTTTTATAATTGAACAAACGAAATGTCAACGCCAGTTCAAAGCACCAGTCCCCACTGCACGTGTATAAATAAGTGGGGACTGAGGCCGAAAAAGGTTATTGTATTACACTGATAAAAATTCAATTTTTATTTTAATTTCACAAAAAATATGCAAAAACTATGGTTAGAAATACTGGCCAAGTTTTAGTATATTATGTGGAATTGAAACACTTTACTTTTAACAAAAAGTTGTTTCTTCTCTCAAGATGTTGTTTTGTTTGTATTTCCAGTTAGTGGCGGCGTCTTAAGCAAATTTTTGACATTGCCCCGAAGGATATTCGGGCCTGACAAGATCCGACGGACAGACAAGTTCCGAAATTGAGTTAAACTGTTAAGCCTTGGCAAGTTACGCTCGGGGCTCGAGAGCATCAGGACTAAAGGAAGTTCACTAAGCTTATTTGGCATTAGAAGCATGAAATCAAATGAAGCCTGTCAAATGCAGTGCAAATGCTTTTTGACTAAGTAAACACAATTCCGATTGAATAAAGCTGATTGGGTCAGGCTGCTGGCTGCTATTCGCCTGCCGAACCGGCTACAGTGTCAGGTGAAAGTACATTGACGCCTTCTCATCCGAGAACCAAGGCCGGTTAAGGAATTAGCTTGGCGGGGGTGTTTGAAATTCTGCAACTGATTGGTTTGTGTTCCCTTAAGTTATTAGCTGAGATTATATTTTAGAAAGTGCATGCTCATCTTTAAAAATCAAATAATTTTATTACTTAAATCGTACAAATGCACTCCTTTTATTTAGAGTTAATTTAAAGCCCATTTTGCCACAAAAACTTTCAAGAGTAAATGTCAAAGTCAGTGTTAGTTGGCGACAACCGATCCCCTCCATGTCCCTCGGACACAGCCGCAGATTCTGGGCCAGCAGCCAACCAGTCGGGGCCAAATGGCCGCAATTTCTAATTAGAGTTATAAGTTTTCGCCCGACTTTCAGCTGGCTATGTACACACACTTCTGGTCACAGGGGTATAGGGAGTAAGGGCAGCAGGGAAGTCAAAGGGCTGGGTACTTACACACAACAACCATGTCGCCATGTTCGGTGACCGTTTGGAAGGAGGGCGCCTCGCCAGAAACCTCGCACCGGTAGCGTCCCGCCGACTGGAGATTGACGTTGCGGAGCGCAACAATCGCGTCACTCGAGTTGTGCAACTGCAATTAAAAATGGTAGTGAAAAGTACGGTTAGCGATGGAGGAAAATAAAGTGGATAGGTCGAATCATTAAACACCCTTTAGCAGGTAAATAAATATACATATATTTTTGGCTCCCGATCGACTTCTCTCTACTGTCCTCTTATATAAAATATTTATAAGGTAGTCCCAGTTGTATTTATAATTTGTATAATTAAAGGGTATAAAAAAAGAGTCCTGTTTAAAGAGGAAATCTGTTGAATAATGGCTGCCCCGGTGATGGAAGATGGTTAAAATTAATGTAACGAAAAGTGGGGAAAGTTGCAATTCCCTCTCAGCCCCACCAGGCCCCTTAACTCTTGCTGTTGTCATTGGCAGTTTCATTGGCATCGGCCAGGGTCGTGGGCTTGGACAGAGGCGGAGGTCCTGCAGCCACTTTGGACGTTAATGTAACGTAATTGCTTTTGAAAACTGCCGCAGCAGCGCTTGTTTTTCAAGCTGCCGCTTCTTTTTTCTGCGTTTTTTACTTGTTTTTTTGTAAATACCTTTTAAATGCCCGAGATGTCCAGCCTGCACCCCGCCCCTCGGAAAGTATCCCCCCGGGAGGGTCGGCGTTGAATATCTGACCAAAAAAGGGTTAGGCAAATATTTCACTTGAACTTTAAGCCATTAAATCCGGGTCTAAAACGGAGGGATTTGGGGGGCAACTCGGGTAGGGATTCGGGGGCTAAGGAGATCAGTTGCTTGTTGTTTATCCAACGCCTCCCGCCCCACCCCCACCGCACTTTGTTATCTGGCCAAGCAGAAAAGTGCACTTTGTTATCTTTTATTGCGCATTCCTTCCCCCGCCCCTCTCGGCCTCTTGGCCGTTGTTGCTTTAACCTAATTTATAGTTGGCCACACAAACACACGGACTCAGACACAGACACGGAAACGGACACGGACAGGTAGAAGAGCTGAGCCCAGGTAAACCGCACGTCTAAGTCCCGGCCGGCCAGCTAGACCAACTATTTCCCAACTGCAATAAAACAAACCAAAACAACAGCAACAGTAGAGGGGGGCTGGGCTGGGGATATATGTATCTCCCCTCCTCAGTCACTCAAATCGATTATGCTAAAACAATATCCAGCAAATGGAGCTGAACACACAAACCCTGGCAATCGCGCCCCAGCACACATCCGCATCAATTGGTTATCGCTAACTGGCATCTTCTGTAACTCCCATGGTGCGATACCTCCTCTTTTAGTCCGACATCAAAAAGTTCACCGCCGGGCAGCCAAAGGAGCAGTTCAGTACAGTGGGATAAACATTAAGTACAAGAGACAAAATATTGCTACTACTAGACTATAGATAAATAATAAATATTTACTTTTTCAGTTAAAAGAGAAAAGGTTTTCAATTCTATTGCCTTGCTTTAGGCCTGAATAGCTACACTTGGTTGGGAATTACAAAGGCAAACAGGATAGAACTTCTTTCTAGCCAACCCTTAGCCCACTGTACCTCCAAAACGGAAATCGCTTTGCGGTAATGTGGAGCGTGTATGGAGTTTACTGTACGGAATGCACTGCGGCGGCAATGGTGGGGCAAACGCGTTTTATGGACACTCTCTGGGCCACGCCCACTACAGCCAGCAAACGCAAAAGCGCAACTTGAAATATTTATTGCACTTATAGAGCGACGGAGACGGACGTGGGGTTGGAAAAGTAGATTCACTTTTTCGGTAGCCGATTAGTGAGGGGAATGGCGGGATGCGAGGGGGAAAATGCGGAGGAAAGCGTGGCATGTCGAATGCAACCATCAACTGGCGGCGATTGTCTGCTCACGTGCTTATCTAAACTCGCTTTTGCGATTCCTGCCATTTTCCAAAAACCTCGTTTTCGCCCCAAAGCGATCCCTTTTCCTCTTTTTCCCAGGAAGTGTCGGGGCAGGGAGGATGTTCCGAGGGAGGAGCGGAGCATGGGGCTTAGTGGGCCAACGTCTAGTGCATTGTTACGTGCCAAAGTTTTAGTGGCAAAAATAATGGAGCAACGCCTGCCCAAGTGCCCTGCGCTCATTCTCATTCTCGTTTTGCGGTCGATTAAACAGTTCGATCGGTGAATGGTTTATCTATCTTAGCATATGTTTGGCATGCCATCTGTATCTGCTCTCGGAATTGGGAGAAGTTTCGGCCAAGTCCATAAAAAATAAAGTTAAAGTTTGAAACGAAAGTCGATAAGACTGAAGGAAGAGATTGAAACTTTGTTGCTGGCTTATTAGAAGTTCATTTAATTTGTTTTAAAGTATAACTCTTTATCAGCCTTGACTAGTAACATTTTTGCCCCAACTTGTATTCAGAGTTCCAAGTACGAGGACATATAGTGGAGTCTGTGGCTTTGTCTTTGAGTCCTTGTGCTGCAGTCGCTGTCCTACGAAGGTAAAGCATTGTCTTCAAAACAAGCAGTCACCTACCCTATCCTGGCAGACTTTCCTAACACACACGCAGGCTATAAAAAGGAAACATCAAAGCTAAGGACACACAGAAACAAAAGCTTTTGAGTTTCTGGATGGAAGGAAGATTTGCGGATAGTACTATTTTTCCCAGTGCCTCCCAAAGAAAGAAGTATCCTGCGCACTGCATTGTCGTTGCGCCAGTCACCGCAAAAGTATGCTACGTTATTTTTAATGCTTAGTTTTAGTGCGACACCACCCAAACTTTTCATTGTTTTCTTTCCCATTTTAGAGACGCGTAGCGAGGACTCCGGGGTGGTGGCAATACTCACATCAACAACAACACCTGACAGCAGAAAGGTCTGGGCGGGCGGCATGTCCCGGGGCACGTAGCGGTAGAACTCGTTGCCATCCTTGTACCATTTGACGGAGTACAGGGCCTCGCCGTCCAGATCGTAGAGGCACTCCAGCTGCGCCGCGGAGCCCTTAATCACGTACTTCGGAATGCGAACCTCGGCCAGTCTCAGGCCAGCCACGCTGATATCTGCAAAGGATGAAAGGACGCGATTAGAGATTGCAGAGACATTAAAACTTCTTATTAAATATTAAACAGATTACACATCCGATGTTGGCTTAATCAGTTGGGTTTCCTCTGTTTTTTTAAGCTCATTTAAAGCTTTAATTCACTGAGTGGGTTTTTGTACAGGTAGTGGCTGATTGATTTATGTTGCTGGGAATTTTTAATTAATTACCAAAGTTTATTTGCACTGGCCGGCCGTGTCAACCGAAGCACAAAATGAGCGATGGCCTGCCAGGCCGAGGGACCCTTTATTGCATAATGTATACTTTTTATAATTTATAAAAAACACTCTCTTGTTTTCATTTGCTCATCAACTCCTTTTTCGTTTAATTTGTTCGAGTGCCGTGGCGGGAGTGGGTCGTGTGTTGTACAATATTATAAAGATTAATAAGTCAATGTGCTGACAGGGAATGATGTTTTGGTCGAGCAACATGATTGAGGGAGCGATTGATAAACTGATACATCTATGTATTGAGGTGGGCGGACTACTTGCTCGGCCCACTTGGCCTGACTCTTGTAACGTTTTATGGCAAACTTGTTTATTGTCAATATTGACAATGAAACAAGCTCACACACAATGGCTAGAGGACGGGTGGGGGAGTGATATATTGAGGATGTGCAGGACACACACCCATCCACTCCATTGCGAGCTTGTGCCACATTATTACATCGCCTGTGGCTGTCACTCCAAGGAGACGACGCTCACTTGGCTTTCCCCAACTTTCGGTTTTCCGCAGGATCTCCCACCAATCGCTGCCCACATTACAAGTGTAATAAAATGTGAAAGGATATTATTGTATACATAGGCACACACACGCGCGCACACATCCCCAAGTCCTATATCCTTATCCGTCAGTATGACTTGCAATTGTTGTCCTCCGATTGACCTAAGTGCAGTGTCATGTCCAGCCGAAGAATGGCCGTTGAGAGACATTTTAGCAATGAGTTTTTCAGCTCCGCATCCTTCAATTAACTTACAGAATACCCAATCGAAGTGATTGAATTACAGAAGAGGAAATAAGGTTAAATGTCAAGCTAACAGATGAAAATCGAAAGTAAATAGTGCATTTGTTACACGAATAAGATGGTTCCAGCTAATTGTTGCTTAACTCTTCAGAAACACACGTAAGGAGGCTTAGAGTGGAGCACACCAAAACCCACCTAACAAGCCAACAGGATTGCCAATATACCATCCTTTCGCAACAGCCAGGCAGGATATATGTACGTTCCTGTGTGCATTAGTATTTGCATTTGTATTTGTTGCCAAGGAGATGCCACTTCCCATCGACCACCCATCGCCTCGAAAGCTCATTCACGTTCAGGTGAGGCTGCGAACAGTTCTTTAACCAGCCACTTGCAGCAAGTACCTTGCCACAATTTGCTGCAAAAGTTTCGCCAAGTGACAGGCAGGGTGGCTCCTAGGTGGGGGACTCACCCAGAAGGGAGACAGGGACATTAATGAGACTGCATGGGTGAAGTTTTTGGTAGAGATTCTCTCCACAAGGACTACGCTCTGCGTGCGGAATGAACTCCTTTGGCTGGCATCCAAAACAAAGGAAAAATTGCATAAAAAGGAGAATAGGTTAAATAAATACAGGAAACGGAAAACAAACAAAAAACTTTTATTTTATTTAGTTTTCAGGGGAATTTGGGTTACAAGCTCCTGCTGCTTTCATTAATTTCGCTTAAGAGTCGAACTGCAAATGGAACTGTGACGCAAAGGCAACAGCATTACAATAAAAGGATATATGCACTGTACAGGGGGTCCTGACGAATAGGACGTCCATTAAATGAGTATATTTTCAAGGTAAGCCATTAGGGGATCCACTGTAGCATCAATACAGGCAACAGCCGTTTCAACGAAACTTTCTCTTTTGGGTAATTTCAGTAACTTTGTCATTTGGGCGCCTCGCCTTGACTCGCTCACAAACACACACCAGAAAAAAAGCTACACCCACCAGCACACACACACACACACGGCGCATGCAGAATGTCGACAGGACACACAATGGCTGTTCTTGTATCTTTCGATTTTTGCCAAAGTCAAAGTCGGGGCTCGAGGGGAATTAATATGCTCAGGCTGCAACCTTTGGCAAGTGAAAAATCAATTTCCCATTCTGACAAAAAATAATAATAATTTAAAAATTATTTATTATAAAATTAGGTTCTAGGATTGCAGGTTTTTAGCTCATAAGTCATTGATTTTATTCCTCTAACAGATTTCCACGAAATATATTTTAAACAGCCAATATCTCTAAATTTTTTCTTGTGCACTTCTTGTGCGACAAAACCCGATTCCTGTTCATCCCTTCACTGTTGCTTCATTCGGAAGAACTCTGTCAACTTTTTCTGTGGGCGACAAAAGTTTCCTTTCATACTTCATTGGGGTTAAGTGATTAAATTTGCAAAGGACGCAGAAATACCAAGGAATTTTCTCAGCCAAAACTAAATAAAGAGGCTGCCTAATGGTGAAGGCGAAAAGTAAAAGAAACTTTTCCACATATGACGCTTGAATATATTCGAGTCCTGTCTCGTCTTCAAGGATATCATTCCTCTGGCTGGCCAAGGATGTCGCACGTGTATAATTGCTAACAAGCCCCCAAGTTTTGGTGTCAAATGATTTTAGGGCCTGTCTTTAAGAGGTTGTCTTTTGAAGGTCCTTTAGTAAACTTGAAGTGTCCTTCAAACAAGTCTCGTCACCGATATTATCCACTGTACCAGTTAATAGGCGACAAATCATGTTCGATTCAAACCCGCCTTCGGGGACTTTTGAAAAAAAGCAGAAACAAAAAAGTTGCTGCTCCTGGCTCATCTGTTGCTGCAGCTCCCCCTGGCGGGGATTGTTTGAACTTGCATTGGGCGGGGGTAGGATTTTTTGTGAGAGTCCTGCCCGAGGAGGGGGGACGGGTGCTTGAGGCAGGTCAGTGTATCGCTACACTTTGCCGGACATCTTTAATCTTTGACAAAAAGTTAGCCTCGTTAGGGAGTTTTCCTCTTCCAAGGCTCACTGTTTTTTTCGACTGTTGATGTCCTTTCTTCTCTAGATCCTATTTTTTTTTGTTTCGGAGCTCGGGGCCGGTTCAGGCTTAATATCCGCTGCCAGTGCCAGTTTTTGTTGTTGCCTGCCTTTGGTTTATTAGTAGTTCGTGCCAGGACACTAAGGATACAAGGATGCCGGGCAGCCAGGATGCGAGGCCAGGATTTTGCAGCCAGTAGATGAAAGCAGCCAACAGCCAGGAGCCAGCAGCCGAAGCTGTTTGCCTATGTAAATGTCTGCACATGAGCCAGGACTCCGGGCTCTGGACCCGGACCCGGACCCCATCCTGCCAGCAACAGGACCAACAATGGCGGTGCGTGCGTGTGTGGTGTGGTCCTCTTCCTTTGCTCTCACTTTGGCTCGTAGTGTGGCCACTGCCCGAGGTAGCAATATTTGCTTTCTGCGCTCTCATCATTTGCATATAATGGCTCTGTAAAAGTTCATAAGGATCTTGGCCAGGATACGGCTGTGGGGGGCTTGCGAAGAGGCCAGCATGCAAGGATGCAGGGCAATGCCTGCAATTCGATTGTGGAATTTAATAAAAACACGTTGCGGGCTATCTGCATCCCGGGAGTGAAAAGGACTTTAGTAAAAGCCAAGACACTGTAGAAGGATACTCAGCCGTGGTTGGTAAGGTTTTGCCTGATTTATTTGGTCAACATATTTCGGCAGGAATTGGTTTAAAGGATATATCTGGAATATCCTTCGAGTTCTGATTATTTTGTAACCACTGTGCCGGAACTATAGTCTGCTAAAATTTGATCTAAGCCCACTAAGCCGTAACTAGAAACGGGCCGGAATAAACGATGAAAGGCATTCAACAATTTTTACGGCAAAAATATTTTGACCAGCTCGGATGCGCCGTCCCTTCCGCCCACGGGCCGCTATCTCTTTCCTCCCCCTCGGCTGCCGGAATGAGAAAATATTCGCGATTCCCGCTTGGCCCGGCTTTAATGTGTCTGGGGGCCAAGGGGCAGCGGCGGCGGTGGCTTCTGACCGAGGGCGTGGCAGTCGGGGCAACAATTACTTCAGCCCTCCCCGGGGCAACATCAAAAGAGGAGTGGGAGTGGGCAGGAGGGGAATAAAAGCCGAGGGAAAATTTGTATGGAAAATGAAAAGAAAACAGGGCGAAATGATGATTAGGGGGCAGCACTGGACCCGGAAGCGGGATTCGGATTCCATTGGGCCCCGGTTCAAATGGAGGTTAAACTGGACGCTGCTCCCCTCCCCCTTCGACTGCATAAATATTAAATTGCTGAGACAATAAGATAAGGACACGGCCTGGAACCTGGACTTGATTAGGGCCAAAGAATAAAAAGGAAAGGGGCGTAGTCATAATTCGAAGAAGGCTGGCAGGGATTTAATTTTAATTCCAGGGAAGTGGCTGGCAGCTCCAATTAATTTCCTGGTGTGATTCTAATTCAGCTAGTTTGGGGACCTGCTAGTCCTGCTATTCCTTTGTGGCTCATTGCCTCTCGAAAATGATGTCCTTCATCATAATTTTTACGCACATCCTCGCCCATGAATTTCAATAAACCCTTCGCATATCCATTGCCTTTGTCTATATTTATCGATAAACCATGATTTAGGCTCATTATTTGCTTTATCCTGGCACACACACACAAGCAGATAGAGGCTATTTGCCATTGTGTTGGTGTTGAGCAATTTTCCCACACATCACTGCCAAAAGCAACAGAACACGACGAAGCAACAGAATCAACAATGAGAACAACTAGACTGGCCGTCTTTTGAGTAACGCCATTATATTCATTAGTAGAACACACACCCACTCTGGGGCACTGAAAAAAATAATTAAAGATTTACAAAAAATAAAGATTAAACAATATTTAAAGAAGGCCTATTGAAGACCCTAATTTAGGGACAAATTATGGTTGGATCTTTGGTTTAGTTGCTAGATAGTCTCCAA